CGCCCAGACTGGAGCGCAGTGGCCGCTCCCGGCCACCGCAGCCTCGACCTGCCGGGCTCGGGCGATCCTTCCGCCTCAGCCTTCTGAGTAGCCGGAATTTCAGGCACGCGCTACCACGCCCGGCTGAGTTTTTGATTTATTGTAGAGATGAGGTCTCGCTGCCCAGGCGGGTCTCGAACCCGCAGGCTCAGGCAATCCACTCACCTCAGCCTCCCAAAGGCACGGGATTACGAGCTGAGCCACCAAGCCCGGCTGAAACTGTGTTTTTAATAATAATATTCTTTAAAGACAATAAAGCATGTCTTTAAAAGATTAAACCAAAAGAAAGAAACAAAGGGGTGGGTAAAATGAAAATGACAAATTAAGACAAAAAAAAGCATGCGTGTAAACTGGAAAAAGCTTAAATAAACCAAACTTTGCAGTTAAAAGAGAAAGATTGTCAGACTTGAGTTTTCAAGTTAGCGTGTGATGTTTAAAGGAACAAATCTAAAATGTAAGGCTAAAGGTAGAAGACAAAGGATGAGTAGGAAAAAAGGTTATAGTAGAAGAAAGCTGTTGGAGATTTATTAAGAACAGACCAATAAAAGAGCAGAAAGTATTATTAAAGAGAATTGTAGCATGATAACAAAAAGTTCAGGCCAGGTGCAGTGGCTCACACCTGTAAATCCCAGCACTTTGGGAGGTCAGGGTGGGAGGATTGCTTGAGCCCAGGAGTTTGAGGCCAGCCTGGTCTCTGCAAAAGTTTTTTAAAAATTAGGCAGGCCTGATAGTTCATTTGCTGTTTTTATCGGTGTGAAGTGTGAGCTAGGCATGGTGATGCTTGCATATAGCCCAGCTGCTCAAGCGACTGACATAGGAAGATCCCTTGAGCCCAGGAGAGAGACCAGCTGGGGGGCGGGGGGAGAAAAAGTGTGAAGTATGGATCCACCTTATTTTTGCAGAGCAAATAAACCAGTAAATGAGATCTTGTAACGTGTTTTCAACATACGACACGTAGTCCTGAGTCCTCATGAGTCCAGGAGGAAGCAAAAGCAGTCCTTAAGAGGAGTGTTCATGGGCTTAAATTTATGTCAGAGAGAGACTCAATAACGAGCTAGTTTCCAATTCGTTAGAAAAAGAACAGATTAAACCCAAAGAAGAGTAGGAAGGAAATAATAATGATAAGAGTGAAAAGTGATGAAAAGCGATGAAATAGGAAATAAATATAAACTAGAGAAGATGGAGAAGTAGAAAATCTGATTCTTTGGAAAGGCAATAAAATAGACAAACTTCCTAAGAGGTCAATTGAAACAGACAAAAGGTACAGATAAACTGTTATTAATAATGTAGCCATGAATGCGGATCAGTAGAGCTTTAAAGGTAATAGGAAAAAGCAATGACAACTTTATGTTAATGATTTAAAATCAAATTGTACAAATTTCAGGGCAATCCACTCTTTCTCCAAAGAAAGAAACAAGTAGTTGTATGACTGCTCATTAGATAATTTGAATCAGTAATTAAATCTACATCACCCCACTCCCAGCCCAAAATTTCTACTATGTTCAGAAGGTAGAGGTATATATATATTTACACATATATTCACATGGAAGTTTATATATACATACATACACAAACACAAGGGAATGCTGAACACTGGGTTTATCAAATATTGGGGGAAGGTGGAAAATTCAAGGGGGTTAGCAATGAGGGTTCTTATTTTTTTTAAGCTGAATGGGCATGTACTTGTTTCAAAAATCTTTTTGTGACCTAAATATTTTATAATAAGAAATTAAATTCAGTTATTTTTTCATGTTCACTTTGCTCATGTGATTTAGCTTGGTGACTTCATAGGAAAACCAAAGATCCTCACTCAGCTAGCTAGGCACAGGTATCTCAACCAATAGTGTGACAGTGGGCCAATTAATTGATCTCCCTGTTTCTCTGTTTCCTCATGTGTAAAGTAGGCATCATCACTTCATATGTTGTAAGGGTTCTGAGTTGACACACACGTAGTTGTTAACAGAGTAAATGGTATAGCTTTTCATTTTAGTGTACTGTAGATTCTAGAATTTGTGTATAAGTCTTAAACTGTCCTTAAAGGTCATTGATTCTCTCTAGTTTTAATTTTTTTTTTTTTAATGCTGTGATTTCTTTCATTGGTCCTTACCTTCCTTTCCTGATTCTTTTTCAAGCCTTAGGATTTGTTTTATGCATTTCCTTTTCTGCAGGCTCTTGTTACATGCTAGGGTAGAGGTGATTTTAAACAATATAAAAAGCCAGTGGTAGTTCAAATTGGCTTGTGCTTTCTCTATTAGATCACTATTCTGATTGAATTATGGCAGAAGCAGCACATTTTTCTCCCTGAAATTAAATAAGTTGTGTAATTTTTAAAAAAGTTTAACCCCTCACCATACTAGTCTAATCATCAATGATTTTGTGTTTCAGAATTTATTTTGATTTTTATTGTTTCATGGTTTAATTGGGGTTAACATTGAATTACTTTTAGGCCGTCATTTCTGTAGGTATTATTAATATCGATTCTTTTTAACTTTATCTTTTACAGCCCAGAAACTTATTGGCATACATGCTTTAAAATAGAAGTTCAGTGCTATGTATCAAATCACATTTACTCGCTAGGGAGCTATAGCTTTTATTATTGCTGAGTTAAGAAGGTGGGGGTTTTTTGTTTGTTTAGGGAAGTTTTTTTGTATTACTCTTTTTAATAGTATTTTCTTAAGTAACAGCTAACATTTTCTTTTCTGTTTTTGGAAATTTGTTAGATATTTAGGCAATAAAAAAGAGGAGTAAAAAAATAAAAAAATAAAAAAAAGGAGGACTCCCCAGTGGAGTCAGTTCTGTATTTTGCTCTCTGGAAAAAATTGTAGGAAAAAATCCTCAGATGGATATCACTTTCTCATCTGAAAAGATACTATGCTGAAATAATGGAAACCTAAGTGCCTGCAGGCCAATGGCAACTCCTCAGGCGCTCCTCCTGTGTCTGTAGAACCTCTGTGTGCAGTTCGTATGCATACGTGTGCATGCACACACAGGAGATATGTCCGAACTCATGCGGGGGTGGGTGGACTTGGCTCACATAGAAGCTCCTGCTCCCCATGTAATTGGCCCAATCACTGCCCTTGCTCGGTGGGTGGGTTTTTTTCTTCAGTAGGTGAAGAAAATGGAAATGTTGTGGAAACACTGTTTTTGCTATGTCCTCCAGGTCGGATCCGCACGAGAAGGCAAAGCTCTGGGAGTGCCACCAATGTCGCCTCTACACCTTCTGATAGTCGGGGCCGCAGTCGTGCTAAAGTGGTTTCACAGTCCCAGCGTAAGAAGTATACTTTATGCTATTGGTTACCGTCGTTCTAGTCAACAGCCTATTTTACAATTAAACACTTTACAATATTTACATTGACTCCTGGTGGAAAAAGACATTTTTGTGGTCTCAGATGCTGTGAGTAGTCTTACTGTTTGTTGGGTAAGCTTATAAAATGGAGCATTCCAGGCAGAGGTGTCTCCTTTCCAGGTGATTTAGATGTTGTATCCTTAAGCATTAAACGTTAAAATATAGTTTCTCTCCCTCTTTTGAAGCCTCTCAAGTGGAAACTTATCTGTTCTGTGACTCATTTTTGTGTTGATAAGGAATCCTTCTGATGTAACTTTAGAACAGTACCTGGACATAAAACTATCAATGCTGAGTTCTTTCCAATGGTAAATGAATAAATCCATTAAAAGCTCTCCTCTTTAACCCTCTGTTCTAACATTTGCGGCCTGCACCTCTCTTGCTACGTGTGGGCTCTTGCTTTGCCTACCTGTGCCCCGCCCCCCCCATGATTGCTTCTCTGTATATGTGAAGTCAGTTGATTTGTTAGCCTCAGTCATGAAAGCAGCCACACCTGGAATGCATTTACTCTGATCACTCTTAGGATCCAGACTTGATGTCTCACTTGGCAGCTGCACATAACTTTGAGTGGCCTGCTTACTTTCTGTGCATGGGCCAGAGTGCTCCCAGGCAAGGTGAGCGTGGGAAGGAAGAGTCTTCCCATCTCCAGGAGCTGCACATGTGCCCACAGCTCAGCACTGGTTACCTGATGTGTGTCTGTGTCCTTTGTGGCCCCCGGGACTGTCTGGCTTTTACAGAGAGCACACAGTCTGCGGCCAGACCTTAGTTGCCTTCTTAGTATTGAGCCTTTCTCAGCTCCCTCTGAATTTAAATTCTTTTCCTTGTTCCTTGGATGACTGTAGTCCTCGTGTTATAGCCTTTCTGCAAAAAAAGCAGGTCAGTCATATTGCTACCTTTGGTGAGGCTCCAGAACCTTCTTGTGGCATAGTTGTATTTTGTAGTGTGACACACTCTAAGCATGGGCTTCGGTGTCAGACCGACCTGGGTTTGCATCTTGGCTCCAGCGTGATTGACGAGGGGCAAGCCTTTCAACCTTTGTGCCCCTTTGTTTCATAGTCTGTGAGTTGCGAGACGACAAGTTCCACTCACATGGGGCTTTCATGAGAATTTAATGAGAATTATGAGCTTCGCATGTGATGGACAGTCAGTAAACGAAAACAAATTGTGCAGCCGTAGTTGCTTCCGATCAGCAGACGCCTGTCCTAGCGGAGGCTGAGCAGCCTCCTCCTCTATCCCTGTCTACTTCAATAGGTTCCAGAAGGAAAGCCAGAGATGGGTTTATGTGACGAAGAATGTAACTGAGGGTAGGTTGAGTCCATTAGGACCACGGATGCCCTCCTTACATAGACCTGACACCGGATTGTCGTCAGGTCCAGGGTACAACTGTAGCCCAGAAACCTCTATCCTGGGAACGTCATCCTGCCTCTGGTTATTCTGTTGAACCCTAGTGATTCTGTCTGATCCCTGGACACAGAAGGATATAATGCCATGGCCATGCCCTCATAAATACAGGTCAAGTCTTACTGCAGAGGAATGCTTCATGACAAAAAGTATTCAAGTCTCATAATGTAGGTCAGTATAATAAAATCGAGTCAATAACAACGGAGGATGAGGGTTCAACAGTATTTTATGTGTCTTTGTTTCTTCTGCTTATTGACCTTGGCCTCTTCAGGGTTCCCTGCCCCAGTGGAGTCAGTTCTGTATTTTTCTCTCAATATGGCAGATTGTAGGAATGCATTTGTTACCTCTGCCTAAGAGATGTGAAGAGTAAAGCTTCTTACCTGTTAGGAGTGAGGATGATGATAGGGCTTTAACTCTTCAGTCTTACCGAAACATTGTGCCTGGCCTTGGGGCTCCACTTTTAAAACTCTTCAGCTTAACTTTATTCATGAAGTTGCACTCAGGGTAGGAGACTATACTAGCAGATGATAATGCCTACACCTTCAGCTTTTGCATAGAGCTATTTTTAAAAATTATTTTAATAAGAGATAAATATAAGCATATTTCGTTACAAATGTAGATATACTAGTATTCATAGTCCTGGTTTAATACTAAGTAGATTTCATTAATATAACATTTAAAACCCTTAATAATTGGCCCGTTTTAAGTATTTGAGGTTTATGGGAGCTCATACCACATTCTGGTGAAACTAGTTGATAATTTTTTTCTATTAATTGATGTTTAGTGAGCACTTACTATGTGATAAGCACCATAGAAGACTGTAGTGATATACAGATGAATGACAGTTGCTTCCCTCACGTTGCTTAAAGCTAGAGAGTAGATGTACTCTGTAAAGGCAACACTCTGCATCTCCTAAGTCTTGCACTGTGCCTGGCATGTTGTAGGTTCCTAAGTTTTATGAAACACCTGAAATAATTGCTAATGTAGGTGGCAAGTATAAAATACACATAAGTACAAAAATAGACTAGAAGAAATAATTAAGTCCTAGGAAAAATAGCTGTTTTGCTGATGTGTTTGTGAACAAAGACATTTGTGTTGTGTTGCATGCTGACCTTCTGTATTGTGTTATTGTCTTTTAATCCACTTTTTGCCTGTCCTTTGGTCTGCTTTCATAATCCAGGATCCAGATCTGCTAATCCTGCTGGTGGTAAGCCATTTCTCTTCTTGCTTTTTTTTTTAAGCATTCTCCTTCCCCCCATGTTCCTTGCACAGCATTAATTTCTCTCTTTATTATGAACTTAGTTAATCTTTCTGCATTTTTTCTGTGTGTTCAAATTCTAGAGTTTGAAATGGATTTCTTTCCTCCTTATATGTACCTTAATAGTTTATTTGTATGCTCAAATTATATGGACAAAATTAATAGGTCGTGAAACAAATTCTTCATGTTATGTATATTGCTGATTTTATAAAGATTTTTCACTTCAATTTGTAGTTAAATTATTATAAACTATTAAATTTTTGAGTAGTCTACCTTAAGTGATTCATTTGATTGATGATAGTTTTTATTTATACAATGCATCTTTAAAAAAATTTTATGATACAGTATCTTTTTAAATTTCATACACATACATTTTCAAGTAAGTGTTGTTTCAAAGATTTTTTTTTTTTCCCCTTCTGGGTCATAATAATGTATACTTTACATTTTAGAATTGTATTGCCTTCTCTATTTAGGGAGATCATCTAAGTAAATGACTGCCATTTGGATGTATTGGTATGATGCTTACAATTTTGCTTTTTCTCTGATAATTTTATTCCACAAGATATGGTCACATAGGTATCTAGCTACTTAGCTGTTAAAAAAATTATCAACCATGTTACTTGTTTTTCATTTCTAGTTTTATTGCATTCTTCTCAGAGAATGTGGTCTATTATTTCTCCCCCCCCCTCTTTTTTTTGTGAGTTAGGGTCTCTCTCTGTCACCCAGGCTGGAGTGCAATGGCGCAATCATGAATCACCACAACCTTGACCTCCTGAACTCAGGCAACCGTTCCACGTCAGCCACCTCTATAGCTGGGACTACATGTGCACGCCACCATACTTGTCTATTTTATTTTATTTTATTTTTGTAGAGACTAGGTCTTGCTATGTTGCCTAGGCTGGTCTCAAACTCCTGGGCTCAAGTAGTGCTCCTGCCTCTGCCTCCCAGAGTACTGGGAGTGTAGGTATTGTTCTAAGATACGTTGTTTGACTCTTATAAACAACATATAGTTGAATTTTATTTTATTTTTTAAAAATCAATCTAAGAATCTGTTTTAATAGGTGAATTCAGTCCAACCATATTTATTATGATTACTGGTATATTTAAGCGTATTCGTGCTGTCTTCTTTTGTGATTTTTTTTTTTAACCAGGGTTCTAGCTATTGCATCCTCCTGCCCCTTTTTTCTTTAATTTGTTAGATTAATGGCATTTTCTTGGACCCATTTTCTCTAATTAAATTTGCTACGGTTATATTTTGCCCTTTTAGCAGTTACACTTAAAAATTTTCACATATCAACTTTTGCAGTATAAAAACAAAACAATAAGCAAACACTTTTGTGGTTATATGTAGAGAATTACTGTGGAACAGGGAGGCTATTGTCGGTACTTCTCTTGCTCTTTTGAAGCAGAAATTTTGTAGTTATTTTTGTAAAATTACACCTTTAATTCTGAGTATAGATATTCTTTTATAATACTCAGTAGTTTTTTATACTCCTATATTTTACAAAAGTACTACCACCAACTAAAATTTTATTTTGATATCAAATTCCCTTAGTATTTGATTCAAATTAGTGTGTATAAACTGGCTTCTGAAATTATTACAGTGTATTCCTTGATTTATATCTGTTATTCACTGTTGTTTGCTTCTTTTTCAGCTGGAAGCCGGTCGAGTTCCCCAGGGAAACTGTTGGGAAGTGGTTACGGTGGACTTGCTGGGGGTTCCTCAAGAGGCCCACCTGTGACCCCATCTTCAGAAAAGCGAAGCAAGATTCCCAGGAGTCAGGGATGTAGCCGGGAAACAAGTCCAAACCGAATAGGATTAGGTAAGGATTCTCACAGGTTTTGGAACATCATTTCCAGTTGGTCATAGTTTTGATTATAATCTAAGGAGTGTATCTGATATAGGAACCAGAGATCTGTTTTTAGAACTGAGGATGTCACTTTGCCTGTGTTAAAAAAAAAAAGACATTTTGATCTGTGCTTTACATAGATGATGGCATGTTGAAGTTGCAGTTAGAAGAATGTGTGGGGCCTGGGCTTGATGACTCACACCTGTAATCCCAACACTTTGGGAGACCAATGCAGGAGGGTCGCTTGAGGCCAGGAGTTTGAGACTAGCCTGGGCAATGTATCAAGACCCCCATCTTCATTTAAAAAAAAAAAAAAAAAGCATCTAACTTACTATTCAAATTGATGGGAATGAGAAGGAATTAATGGCATTGTGGCTTTTGTGTTTTACAGTCATTTTCTAAAGTATTGGAATTGGGTTTTTTACTCACAATTAGAAACAATGTTGTTTTTCATTTTCCTTTCACTGATTAGCACTCAATAGTCATTAACCTATGTGAATTTTCAGAAGCAATTTTAGGGTACTTATTTACTTTAATTTTGGCCTTCTATAACCCAGTTGGTGGTCAGAGAATATGTATAGTTACTCTTGATATAGATTTGTTTAAACGTGAAAGCTAGCAATTGGTTGAAAGCCAATAAATAATATTTATTTTTATGTTGGAGTATTTTGTTTATTTGAAATAGTATGTAGAATCATATGAATTACTCTCAACAGCTTAGAGGCCTTTTACTCTATTAAAATATAATTCGTAAACTATCTTTAATATAAAATTTAGAAGTCTTGTGATATACAAACGCTTAAATTCATACTCTTTTTGTGACATCTTTATCTGCTTCCTAAGGGTAAAATTCTATTAATATAAAATCAGATTACTATATTCTTAAGTCATGTTGGCTTATCTTTCTCATTTATTCATTTATCTCCCAACAGTTTTTACTTTATGTTTACTGTCTAGGCACTTAGATCTGAGAACTAGAAGATAAATAGTATATATTTAGACACCGACTTCAAAGGTCTTGTGATCTATTGGGGGAGAGGGGTAAATGTAAGACAGTATGACAAATACTATGGTGTTCTGGGACCATTAAAAAAAAGAGTGTCTTGCCCACCCCAGTCCTCCCAGCTGTCTCAGAATAGGTCCTATTTCAGTGAAGTACAAGGTGGGATTGGCCAGGGTAGAGAGATCAGGGGGAAAGTGTTTTAGTAGAGAAGGAAGCATGAACAAAAGCCGTCAGGCAAGTGGGAACCCCAAGTAGTTCATTTGGCTACTGCGATGGAAGTTTGTCAGGGTGGGTGGAAGTTGAGGGCAGGGAGACTGGTAGAGTTCAGCTTGTGAAAGTTGTTGAAGACTGCCTTGAATGATGAGAATGCAGGAGCAGGTATTTAAGAATGGCGAGGATTTGGTTTGAACTCACATTTTCAAAGCAAGAAGAAGCATTTGCTGGGGTTTTGTTAATTCTCTCTCATGCCCACTTTCTATTGGCATTAGGTTATATGGTCTCTGAGCTGACAAGTTATTTAGGTGTTGATGTAGATATAACCAGAGAAAAGGTAATGGTTGGAATATCTAAATTTCACATCTGATGCTGAAACATACCAATGTTTAGGTCTGATTGTGTCTGGAAAATGCATCTGATTTTAAATGTAGGTGTTAGGTTTCAGCTGTCATTTTTCCATAGCTAATTTTTAGGTCTATAGGATATCTGTTTGCAATCCATGTTAGTTTTATACTTTTAAAAATTCTTTCCTTTTTGGGGGATTTTTTTCATTTTATATTTATTATATATAATCATTTTTAACCTTCTTGAAATTGAGAAATAACCCAACTTTATTTAGCATAACTCTAAGACATGATGACGTTCCATGGTCTCAGCTATGAGGCTTGTTTTGTATATGGAGACAGCATTTTATAAGCTTTTGAAAAAAGGTATTATGAAACATTAGTAAGAACTAAAGAGGAGCCTGTTCCCCTCCAAGGAGTTCTTGTTTTAAACATTATTTAAAGAAGTGTATTTCCTTGGTGCTCATTTGGAGGATCAGTTATGTGTGAAGCTTTCAGGTCATACATAAAGTTCAGATCTGAATTTCTGCACATTGTGAGAATACACACATATAAAGAAATATGTATGAGTAAAATATATCTTTCCACTTTTTTCTATCACTCTACTTAGAGATTCCACTTTATAGAGTGGCAGATATAATAGCATTTTTTAGTGATAGATTTATATATTACTGTGATCGTTTTGTATATGCTGGATATATGCCTATTTGTCTTAACATTTGGTCCATTATATAGCTGTTTTCAATATAAATGTTCATAAAGTGAGGGAGCAGCTTAATTTTAAGAATATTTTCTACAATCGCCAAGCCAGTTAAATCAGCAATTTTAACAATAGCTAAACTAGGCTTAGAATTTGCACTGAGAATTAATTCTAGTTGTCTACAAATTAAGTTTAGTTCAACCATACCTCTTTTTGTTTTAAATGATATTTCTTAGACTGGACATGGTGGCTAATGCCTATAATTCTAGCATTTTGGGAGACTGAGACTGGAGGATTGCTTGAGCCCAGGAGCTCAAGACCAGCCTGGGCAACATAGTGAGACTTCTTCTCTACTGAAATAATAAAAAAAAATTAGTGTTGAGCAGTGATTGTGCCGCTATATTCCAGCCTGAGTGAGACCCCGACTCAAAAAAAAAAAGGAAAAAGAAATTATATTTTTTTTCTCATTTGTTTTAAAAGTGATGCCAAGACCCTTTTTCTTTGGCATTTAAGATTTCTTAACCCAAACGACCTGTAATTCCTGTTGAATAACCAAAAAAGCAAAGTAGTGTCTTGTTTCTCTCTTTTTTCTTGGCGATTTATTCCCTCCATGAACTGTCCAACTGAGTGGGAAAATATGTTTTTAAATAGTTTCATTTTTGTGTATTTTAAAGATATGTAAGACTTTTCAGATACAATAAAGTAACATAAATCACCAGCATCTATAGTGGTTATATTTTGGGAGTTGGCTTTTGGTTCCCTTCTCTTCCCACTCATCTACTGAAAGGCTATAAAAACATGCTTGACATTTTTACATCTTACATTCTGTAGATATGTATTTTTAAAGTTTTAATATTTTCTGGTTAAAAATACTTTGAAATAAGTAGCCGAGCATGGTGGCTCATGTCTATAATCCCAGCCCTTTGGGAGGCCAAGATGAAAAGATTGCCTGAGCCTACGGGTTCAAGACCAGCCTGGATGACTTGGTGAGACCTCATCTCTACAATAAATCAAAGAGTTAGCTGGTCATGGTGGTGCATGCCTGTAGTTCCAGCTACTTGGAAGGCTGAGGCAAAAGGATTGCTTGAGCATGAGCCTAGCAGATTAAGGCTGCAGTGGCTGTGAGTGTGCCATTGCACTCCAGCCTGGGCAACAGAGAGAGAGAGAGACACTGACTCAAAAAAAAAAAAGTTGAAACGGCAAGTATGTTTTCATCATCTCTTGCTCTTCTCTTATGTTTTCTCCTCTATGGCATATTCTCACATAGAACATTCTGTTTTGGCATTTACAGAGAAAAGTGAATAATATAAATATAAATATATATATAAATAGTTTTGACCACCTAATTAGTCTACAGAAATCACTTAAATTCATACTTATTTGAAATCCTTCTTGTAGATTAGTCTTTGAAAGTGGTATTATAAGTGAGTAGGTTTTTCTCTTGTGTTTAAAATTATTTAACATTTAAACTGCTACTGTCACCACTAGATGTTCTTTAATGAGGTTTTGGGGAAGATTTTCACAAAATTCTAAACAGAAAGAATTCTTTTTTCTGTATACTGCTAATAGCCATATGTTCATATGTTAAAGGAGTCAGTCAGCACCAATGAGTGAATGAACTCTATCTCTCTGAAATACCAGGAGGGTAAACCTTGTTAATTTATGCATACTATTATTTCAGATCATATCTGTTAATTGCTGTGAATGCTTTTTGTTGTCCTCACAAAGCAGAGGACAATTAACCTATAAAGAGAGTATTTATTTCTCTTTGCTATATATAGCATGTATATGAATTTAGGGGAGGGCATAGGGTTTGGGTAAAAATTCAGAAGTAATCAGGCAAAAGCTATCTTTTTAAAACATTTTTAATTTTAAAGATGGGTACAATTCAGGGTTAGGTACAAATGTTCATTTTGCAGTTAAGGAACTATCTTAATAAATAAAAATGCATGACTAATCTATGCACTTAGTTAACAACTGTAGGACTGTTTATATTCCTTTTTGATTATTTGTTTTAGAGTGGGCAGTGGAATAAGACAAAATTTCATGTGTGCCATTCAGCAAGGGACTTGGAAGTACTTATGTATGGTGCATTATCTCACAATATCCTTCCCACTTAAATGATGGAACTCTTTCATGTTTCTCATTTTCTTCAGAGGAGGCTGAGACACAGAGACACCAAGTAGCTGGACCAGTGGGTTAGCATGGAACTGGAAACTTTTCCAGATTGGTGGGGTCCGCAGGCACTCCCTAGGTTTTTTAAGGATTTAACTTGTCACCTACTTTTTTTTGCCCTCATTGTAGGAACTGTTTAGAATGTTATTAAGACTTGCTGATTAAATAGTCATTACTACTCTGAGTGAAAACTCAGTGCTTTCATGTGACTCTGGCAAAATTAAGGAGAATTTAGGAATTTCTGGTGAAGCCCCAATGAAGCCCTGTTTGGCCTGACTGCTCAAATTACATTCCTGTGCCTGACCTGTTTTCGCCTAGGCAGTACTAAGCATTGGGTCATCACTTAAAAGCCTTCAGGGTCTAGTTCACCCCTAGCACAGAGCAACTGAGCACAATAGGAGATTGACTTCATTTTTCATTTTTGTATTCTTTTTTATTAGGGAGTTTCATGATTCTAGCTTGTAAGACATTCTTGTTATAGTTTGGCTGAATCTTTGCTCTGAAATAATAGGGTGTACTCATTGTAATATAGATTACATGTTTGTTTTTATATCAATGCATTGAGCTTATTGTTTCTAAAATTTCTGAATAAGACGTACGTTTCTGTCCAGTCCAGAAGTTGTATATCCTCTCAAGATGGAAATGTATATCGTCCCCATCAGCTGTTACATAAGGCATTCCACCACATTCATTCGGTATACAAGGTTTTTTTGGAGTATTTTGCCAGTAATATAATTTCCATTTTCTCATATTGAGAAACAAGGGCAATCATGGTCTTTTCTGAGCTTCACAGCCAAGTTTTTATTACACCTTAGGCTATTTATGCAACTCTGTCTTGTAGTGTCAATATTTTATAACATAAAAATAATGAACTGTATTTGTAGATAATCAGAAATAATTATTTGCTGTTCTCAGCTCAGAGGAGGGATCTTTCACTCAAATGTTGAGAGTATCACTGCTTGCTGCTGTCTAACTCATTATGTAAGACTGGGTCAGTGATCAGTAGTGATGGTGCTTGGTAGATAAAGACCACAGGCAAATCTTTTTGGATTCCCAAGGAAAAAGCATGAATTACATGTTGAAATCAGTTAAGGAAAGGATGGCAGCCCTTACCTGTACATCTCTTGGTTTAGAGAATTGAATGTGTTGGAAGCATCTGCTCATTACTCAGAGTGGGTAGGCTGTCTAGCTATGTCGACTCTGTAGCTTCTCTTTATAAAGAAGGCCAACCAGGGAGAAGTGCGTCCTCTTCCTTTTCATTAGGTAAGTTTATGGATTTCAGTGACCGGAGCCTTTTTTCTGTTTTGTTTGGTTTTTTTATCCAAAGTAAATTACCCGCCTGAGAACCAGGTACATATGAACACAACGTTAGTCTTTTGTTCTCTTTTCAAGAAGTTTGCTAAAAGCAGATCCTTTCTAAAAGGCTTTTGATCTTGTATTTTCTGATGCCAATTTGTTCTTGGAAAGATTTCTTTTCGTTGCTTGCATTTAGTTGTAACTTTACCATCATACTCAACTCCACAGCTTTCCGAAGCATTGAGCATAATCCCGTGTTTACCTGACCCCTCTCCTTTTGGCTTGTCAGTCAGTGAGACCTGAGCACGGATAGGTGGCTCCGTCATCAGGACTCCCCAGCGTGGACAATGTCATAATTACATTAACCAAATGTGACTGACGTTTGTGAGTGTTTCTGTCTTCATTAAACTTGTTCACTTCTCTAAAACCCCTCATGCTGCACACTAGCACGGAGCAGCCGTATCCCTCGACCCAGCATGAGTCAGGGGTGCAGCCGCGATACCAGCCGTGAGAGCAGCCGAGACACAAGCCCTGCTCGGGGCTTCCCTCCACTCGGTGAGTACATGGAGGCGTGACCACGGAGCACAGATTCCTTTCCCTGCTCCACGTGCTTGTCCGGACACTGCCCGGTGGGATGACCTGCTTCCCCCCCACTGTCCTTGTGACCCTTTCTTCTTTCCTTCCTCTTCCTTAGTTACCCTCTGCTGCCCCCCTGTGCATGCTTGAATTTTGGCAACTTTCACTTTCCGTATATTAGAGGAAAAAAACACCACTTCACTCTGTCCTGTTGTCATTGATGATCGCTTGCCAAGGCAAGCCCGTCTCAGCCAAAGTTAGTTGCTGCTTAAAAGGAAAGTGAATCCACAGTTTATCCTTAGTTGCTGAATGTTTACAGTTTATCTTTAATTCTACTCCAAGTACAATTGTGATAACATTTAGAAAAGTAGATGAGTTTTCTTTTTAGTGTTAGTCCTGCTTTTGTCTAAAATGGACACATAATGTATATCTTTCCAGTTATTACAGACTAGTAATTTCCAAAGATATCTGTTAGCACATACTTTTAGGAAAAGGATTATTTTGTATTGTCTCATAATCATGTTTTAGCTCCTGGGTATGTTAAGTGCTGAACAGATGTAGATTTTTCTTTTGATAAGCATAAAGGGTAAAAGTCATGTTATAATAAGTAGACCTAGACCTGAAACTATCACACGGAACTATGGACTGCAGCAATCTATGATTTTGACTATGTGATTACATAATTAGTCTTTGAAATATATCAGTGTCACTCCAGAAGAAGGATATTAAATCAAAAGCATAAGGTTTTAATGTTTGCTTCTACTGTGATCTCCTTCTAATGTTACACACTTCTTCTAATCTCTTTTCCCCAGTCACTATCAGTAGTCAAAATCTAGATATATTCTCTGACCCATTGTCCTTTATGAGGTTCTGAAAAAGTGCAGGTGAACAAATGCCAAAGCCTTGCTAGATGGTTGCCTTGACTTATTAAGGCAGTGCCTGTGGTGAAATGTTTTTTCTGGTTAGCATGAGCGCTTGAGTGGGGCAGCTCTTCTAGTGCATGTCAGCTATTCCACAGCAATCTGAAGCATTCCAGCAGAATGCTCAGTAAATCAGAGGCGGCAATAATGATTGTTTTTTTCCCTGAATGAACTGGTGATTTTTCCTTTTAAATTAAGGCTGTATATCTATGCATCCTTGCTCACTGTTTGACCTTCCAAACATCTTATTTTATGAGTAAACAATCTGTTTATTGGTTCTTTAGTCTTTTAAAAGCAATTCAGTGTTTTTATTTCATACATGTGCTGGTTTTTCTTATATTGTCCATAGAAGCAGCCTTTGTAATCTGGCATGTGGTCTGTGGACCAGGCAAAGTGTGCTGAATTCTTGAGGTCCTAATTGAACCCTGAATAATTGAATGATCTTGTCTGTTTTTTTACTTTCTTTGACTAAATGGATCTGCTCGACTGTCTTGGTGACAACCCAGAATGTTGAAGTGTATAATTGCTACTACCAAGGCAGAAGGTGTGGAACCTAACAAACTCTAGCATCAGCTCATGTCTTCTGTTGTGGTCAGGGCAATAGTTAAATGTCTTTGAACTAAATTTTTATGCCATGCTGTTTCTTCCCCCTTGGATCAAGCCTGTCTCTGAAGCTTATGCCAGCAAGAACAACAATGTTGCTCATGTGTACTTGCACCAGTCGGAGCAGTGAATAGGCATAATGCCTTGTGGTCCCTGTTTACCCTTTCTTTCTCAAGGTCACAACTAAGTGATGGGGAGTCAGGGTTTGAATCCAGGTTTGACTTAAATTCTGCCTCATTTGAAAGTAGCTCTGATAATTCAGCATCTTTCATTTGCTTTTCAAAAATGTATTAATTGCTTTCTGTGAGGCTTCTTCAGGGTTAGGCACATAGAAAGTGCTCAGAAGGTGTTTCTGAGTCAGTGATTTCCATGTGTGGGCTTAGGACATTGGGATTCAAAGATGTATTCTAGAAGATTTTTGTCCTCAGGGGAGCTTCCTGCACATCCTCTGAAGGTTCCTTCTTTATCTCATTCACCTTAATAATCACTTCCTACCCCTTTTTGGAAATTAGTGAGATTGTGTGTTGTGCTCCTTTGAATCCACTGATATAGCCAACTTTCATTTTTTAGGAAAGGGAATGAAATAATTAATGTTTAGTGACTATATATTGTTTTTTAAGTTTGTATTTTTATTTCAAGATTGTTTGGGGCCATTTAATGGTATGACTGTGTACTTATATGGTCACAGTGATAATTTTTCAGCGAAATTAAGGGCAGTAGGACTCTGCCGGAAATCAGGCTTTTTGTCATAAGTAGGTCCACGTTGGATTCCGTTGTTGGGTGTTCACTTGTAAATGGGACAGAGGACTCATTGCATAACAGATTTACTTTAGAATATTCTGTTGAAGCAGAACAAAGGGACCACTTTATAAGGAACTTACATATCAGATATTGCTTGAAAACTAATTTAAGTTTAAACTATCAAGATACTAAGGTACTTGTACAATAAATGTATAGTTTGCTTCAATTTTAACAAAATATTTTGCCAACCTTCTTATTTAAAGCGAGTGAAAATTTTATAATGTTTTAGAAATTGCCAATTCATCTTTATTTTTGTGACTCTTGAGAAAAGAGAAATTTTCTTTTTCTTTTGCAAGCTGATAAAAATGTGTTTGTTTACCAAGTAATTTTTGCACCACATATACCATAGAGATGCATATTTTATAAAGTAATATGGCCTTAAACAGTTATGTTGAAGAACCTGAGGTTTTGATATTTTATGAATAAATGAGAAGTATAGATTACTCTAGAGGTGTGGATGAAATGTAGCACTGCTCAGTATTACTTTATTAAACCAATGAATTTTCTATGGAATTATCACCGTGAGTTTTTCAGAGTAATGAATGGAAGCACATAATCTTTTATTTTTTCCTGAGGTAACAAAAAATCATATATTGCATGGAATTGTGGTTAATAAGTCAATGTTTTGAACCAAGTCTTTATTTCATAATTATTTCTAAAAGTTATTCTTTCCCCACATAAGTACTGAGTATAGCATTTATTTCCTCAGATTGATAAATTAATATACTCACTAAAATACTTGCTAGTAAAATGATACTCTCACGTTGAACTGTAAATTGGGGTCTACTCTTAACCGTCACTGCCACCACCAGTATCACCACCACTGCTAAACCGCTGTTTAAGCGCTGTACATATGATCTCCTTGAATCTTCCCAGTAACTCCCACGAGGTAGGTACCATTATTAGCACCATTTTACAGATAAGAAACGGAGACCCAGAGAGGTTTAGTACTTTGCCCAGGGTCTCACGGGTAGTCGTGATCAAACCATTGTTCGTAGTTAGAGTAACAGGCCGGTGCGCATAACCAGAGTACCGAAGTGCCTCTCCAAGGAAGGCCGTTAACTTCATTAATTAAATTTCCAACAATTACACAAGTACGTTAATAAGTAGGCTATTTATGCAGTAGAACAACAAACATTTTGACTGGGGAAAATGGAATTCCAATTGTTGAGCCCCCTTCCTGTGATTTCATTCTGTTTCTGTTGAAAGAACATTATGAGCCTCTATGCTTTTGTTTTCGGTGCATGGTCGCATATGCATCACATACTGATGACACATCTCGTGAGCTGAGTTTTAATGACCCATCTTCCTGTTCCACTCTGGGATGTGGCCGGTGCTCTGTGACTCCTGATGCTCTTCGTGTTGCATATTTCCATACTGGCTGGTAGAGGCTTCATGGCGCGAATAGAAACCTGGAGTCCCAGTGGGTTGGTGCGCACTTAGTTTGGAGCACCTCAGAGAGGGCCTTTGTTGTGCCTGTGTGTTTAACCGCTGTGTGAGAGCCAGCCAGCTACCGTGGAGTTTGGGGATCAACACTTGCTGTCCATTCATATCAGCACCATTTCTTCTCGTGAGAAAACGTGGCCTTGTTGGTGGCAGTCCCTGCCTTTCCTTTGGACTGTGGCGTTTTCTGTCTCGGGTACTTCTGTGTTAATCCTGTGGGTGTTGCCGTTCCTTTTACCTGCAGCCTCTCGACGTCATTCCAGGTCCACTAGCGCTCTCTCCACTGCTGCATCTGTTGGGCAGTCAGGTGAACAAGTGCTAACTGCATGACTTGGCTCTTCATATGTTCTAGTTTCCCACCCATGTTGACATTTGTTTTCATCCGTGTCGGCTAGCACTTGGCATGTATGCACCTCGTTTTTTTTCCCCCAATGTGCTTTTATTTTTTTAAGTTGTTGAATGTTTATAGTTCTGTTTAATAGGCCATAGAAGTTTGACAACACCATTTCTCCAGTGTTCATATTTATGTTAAAACAAAACAAAAAAAACGGGGAAGCACATTTTCCCTTCCTGCTACCCCATCCCTAGGCAAACAACTCAAACTAGGTAACGTGTAGGGTCCCTGTGAAAAGGGGGTGTGGACATCATCCAACAGAGTCTTTCGTTTCCAGAGGCTTCACTTCCAAGAAAATGTTGAATATTAATGCTAGTTATTAATGCCAAGTTCAGATTATTTTGAGGTACTGGTGAGTTGCCAGTGTTCCAAATTATAGCACACATAAGTATGAGAATAAATGTATTGTTCTAACAGATTTCCGAAAAAGCAGGATTCAGGTAACCAAGTCAGGCCAAAGGTAGTCTTTGCAGCCTGCAAACCCCAAACTTTCTGCCTTGGCTCCCTTTAATACCCAACATCCACTGATTAGCCACAGTGGCAAAAAGTAAGTGTATAATAATGCATCAATTTGCCAAATTAACTGGCATCTGTTTTATTTACTAACAGCCTCTAATGACTACAGTTTTCTCAGTTGAGTAAGGCATAATCTATGCATTTACAGATTGTTGATGGTGACAGTGGTTACCCGTTCACTGAGTCCCTAATTTTCTTGTTCTTCCTCTAAGTGAAGCCAGCTATGGATTTTGACTATGTATATTCTGCTTAAGTACATTCCCCTGAATATTATGGGCCCGACTGAGGACACAGTCATATGTATCCATCTCTTGGAAAACTGAGCTTCACAATAGTATCAGAGCAGTGAGAATATAGAACAGATTTCAGTCTAGTGAACACAAAAAGCTTATAATGTTGCTGAGATCTCTTAAGATTTGAAATTCCAATTATCTATGACATCTATCAGATGATCTACAGTCGCTGTTTATAGCAAAGCTGTATGCATCTGGGAAGCACAGAATAATTGCATTGTTCTTATAGTTTTAATTTTGTGTCTGAAAAATCAATATTCTCCCTGAAGCAAGAATTGCTGGCATGAGATCTATTTTTTTGTTTTTGTTTTTTAGACTCTGTTTTTTCAGTTTATGCTGGGTAATTTTTAAATGGCTTATAACTGAATTACTTTCATTCTGTTACTCATGAATCTCCTGCTATCTACCCTTTTTTAATGGAAAAATATACTTGGACAAAAATCATCTATAAAACTATGTGCATAGTAAATCTCATTTATACATTTCATATTTCAAATTTATATAGCTAGATAGATGTAATTGTTTTGTGGTCTTTTTTTAGTTAATGTGGCATATAATATCACCTTTTAAATGTAATGGCCAAGATGACATTTGGAATAACCAGCAGATGCATTAAAAAAGGGGATAGTATAACATACAATTTTTGTTTCTTTTAAAAAATTCATTACTGTATAACTTTTGACTAGCAGTGTGTAAATTCTCCCTTTATGTGATGATGGAAGGTGTAATGTTTTGAAATTTACAAAAAGCTAAGTAACGATTCACTTTTAAAGTTTACCAGTTTTGTAGATGATATCTTGTTACATATCTAAAATTTTAAATACATCATTTTATAGGAAAAGATCAATTCACGTAAAATAGACATTAGCTTTCCTTTTAATCTAAATGTCAGAATATGACTAACACAGAGATTTTCCTTGTCCAGACAGTGTCTTATTTATTAACACAGAGAAAACATTTTTTATCTTAACATTTTTTCTCCCAAAGATTTTTATACATTGGAATTTTAAATAAGAAACTTACCAAGTAGCACACTTGCGAAGTATAATTTGTGCCAACTTTCCCCTTGCCTAATTTTAATCTCCAGTGATTCTTTTTTTTTGGAGTTGGAGTCTCACTCTGTCGCCCAGACTGGAGTGCAGAGGCATGCTCCCGGCCACTGCAGCCTCGACCTACTGGTCCGCCTCAGCCTTCCAAGTAGCTGGAACTACAGGCGTGTGCTACCACGCCCAGCTAGTTTTTGATTTATTGTAGAGATGAGGTCTCGCCAAGTTGCCTAGGCAGGTCTCGAACCCGTGGGCTCAGGCAATTCACTCACCTCAGCCTCCCAAAGATGCGGGATGACAGGCTGAGCCACCGGAGCAGCCTGGCTTCTCCAGTGATTCTTGAGGAAGGCTGGTCTTCTGACTTAATGGGACTTTAAAAGTGCCATTTCTATGATCATTAACAGGCTTAAAACAGTTGTTTGATCTGTTAAAATTCATTTTAAATTCTTTGGATTCTTTCCATTTTGTTTACCTGCATAAAGACTGTCATGTAAAAATCCTTTGAGGAGCCCAAGTAAAGCTTAAGCTACTATTATCCGAATGATTAATGTTCTGCAGTGAAAGTGCTAGGTTTTTTGTGGTGGTTATTAGGTAATTTTAATAAACAGATTTTTAAATAAACTTTGGTGACAGCAGGCATCTTGATGAACAATAATCTAAAACTAATTGAGCTTAATTAATAACAGTTACACAAGAGTGGCCCTAAGGAAAATTTTCACAGAGGTCAGTTTAATGTGTTTGTTTCCAGTTTTAGTTTTTCACCACACGTTATGTCAGAACTCCTTTACCAGGCCACGAAACTTTCTGAGTCGTTTGGCCAAACGTCAAGGCCTCTAGAGGGGAAGCTCAATCGTTTAAAGATGCAACTCATAGCTTAGCTCCCCTCAGTAATAAGTTCTCCCCTCTCTTTCACAGCGCAAACACGTTTCAGTAATAAAATATGTTCAGACAGTTTTAGTTGACAGTGCTTTTGGCACGAAAGCATTAGTTTAACCTCTGCCACTGGTTTACAAATCAAGTGTAGTTAAAATTGGCTAGCGATTTTTCAGCACCTCTGTCTACTATGTCTACTTGGTGGCAGAGGCAGGAGCCCTTGCCAGGAACTGAGAAAATATGAATTAACATGACCCATCTTTTGCTTTTATCTTTTAAATAGACCGGTTTGGGCTTGGCCAGTCAGGAAGAATGCCTGGTTCTGTGAATGCCATTCGTGTTCTGAGCACAAGTACGGATCTCGAAGCTGCTGTTGCTGATGCTTTGGTAAGAGGCACCGTGTGTCCACAGGGACTCTGTGAGTTCCTCCTCCGCCCTCCTCTCTGCCTTGACAGGAGGAGATTGCTTCCACATCAGGTCGCTGAGTCATCTTTGACACTCTTTTCAAAAGTACGGATATTGGGTGAATTTGCGCCTTCCTTAAGGTTGTTTTTTTCCTTAAGGTTTTACCTCTGCACACACGTCAAGGCAAGCTGGCTTTACAGAAGATAGTAGCATCAAGTATCCTGGCTGCTCAGGATGAAGGAGGTTTTGATGACATTGGGCTTTCCAGATGTCATCAGGCTTCTTTTTTTTCTTTGTAAACATGGTTTTTTCAGCTTTCCTTTTTTCCATCCTGTGGCTTCTATTGCTTTACAAACTTTGGTGGCATAACCTAGACATGTTTATTATAACAGTAAGTAATAGTGTTTGGGGTTTGAAAAGCTTACATTTAGCCCATTACCTCACTTGTTGGGGCCATATGATTTATGGATTTTTTTGTTTTTAAGAAAATGAGTTCTCCAGTCATTTAAGAAAACTTTCCTAAATTTTATGGTTAACTCCTCTAAGAGGAGGTGAAGATATTCCTAATATCCAAAAAACATAAATGATCACAGCTCCTTTAATTTGGGTTATAGCCAAAAGTCGCTTGGTAGAATCAGCTTGTGGTCACATTGCTTTTTAAAGTGCATCTCAGCTAGTAGTAACACAGTCTTTTGCATATTCCGGTTTATGTGCTCAGCATTTGAAATAGATATTCTTTAGAACTGTCTGATCTCCGGCCTTGCTTTTGCTATTTTAATATTTCTTCTCTTATAAGGAAAAAAAGTATATGATGTCCTGCTTTCAGACCTGAAGTTTTTAACCCAGCCATATTTCAGTGGATCAGTGTTTGGCAGGCTGTGGCTACAGAGATTCCAGCTTTCATTCCTTCTGATCTCTCCCTCATTTATTCTTGCTTAGTCAGGTTTCTTTGACAAGAGTCTGTGAGCAAGCAGTTTGCTGCTCCTATAATGTTTTTCCTATGGGTAGACTGCCTGGCTAGCTCTGTTCCTCAGCCTTTTGTGTAACAAGGACTTCTTCTGGCAGATACTGGAGTTCAGGGTAATTGCTCTAACTGTGGCTTTAAGTTAAGAGTCAAGAGCTGGAACAGAAATCTCTGACGCTGTTTCTCCTTCTAAGTTGCAGCATTTAGAATCTGCCTCTTATTTATTCAGAAACCCTAAGAAGCAGAGGTCAAAGAGTTGGGAAATGATGGATGTGAAACCCTTAGCTAAATGGAACTTTCAGAAGGGTTGGGGGAGATTTCTTAGTGCTTTGAAGAACTGCTTAAGGGACTGTGTGCAAAGTTCTAGGAGGCAGAATAGGATGGGAGAGTGCGAGCTTGGGCTGAACTCGACTTGAGCATTACTCTGAGCTCTGTCTCCCATTATGTTCATGCTGCCCTTGCTACTTTTTTGTTCAAACTGTTTGGTCTCTCCAAGTGACCTACTTCGGAAGAGGAAGCCCAGAAATGGTACCGAATCCTTGCCTTCCTGAGCAGACGCCCAGGGCAGACAGAGTATCTCAGAGGCATCCACAGTCGAATTAATGGTGACCTGAGAGATGTGCTTCACTGGTCTGGGACAAGTTTTAGCCAAGAATTACAGCAAGTACCAGAAGGTCTTCTGAGAGGTGGAGGAAGATTAGGAAATGCCGTTTTGAAAGCATTCATTATTATTATTCGCTTGATACGAAACGCTTGCTAACCTGTATTTTTGGTTTGCTAAGATGTGTTTTGCTGTACACTTTTGTTGCAAGAACAATCCCTACATATGCTTCTGACATAATTCTCTATGCTTTTTCCCCATCCTTCAATATTTTCCTGCCTACAGCTGTTAGGAGACTCCAGGAGCAAGGTACCAGTGCTTTTAACTTTTGTTTTACTTTATTTCTTCTGTTGCGAGTATATTTCTTTTAGAAGCTTGTGAAAGCAAAAAATGTAGTATAGTATAGAAATTATGGTCTGTGTTATGATTTTGTTGAATCATAACAACAGTGATTCAACATCATTATTGCCTTTATTTGAGGCGAAATCAGTCACCTTTCACATACATCTGTCTCTGTGTTTATTTTGAATGTCAAACCCTGCTGCTTCCCCTAGTAGTGTTTCATTTTATTAACTCAGTTTGTGCCCATTCTTACGTTGTTGTGATTTCACAAGTGGATTTGTTGACGTTTTTCTTATTTTAGGAATCTGGTTTATGTAAAGGTAGATTATATGTATGTGTATGGTAATCACATCATCCAAACAAAAATGCTTTTGCGTGTAAAAGGAGGTGCTATTAATATTATGCTGGGCGATAGGCATAAGGCAGAAGTCCCGAGCAACTTGGAATTAATAATAATAAGCCCTATTATTAGAGAGCTGTATTTGTAGAGCTTAAGTCAATAACTCTATTTGTTTTGCTTTTACCAACTTTATATTGCTGTTGCTCTATCATTTATAGGTTTTACAGTTTTGTATGCTGGGTAAGAGAAATGAATGAAGGGGGTATTATAGTCTCCTTTCAAAGAAGCCTATTTGTGTTTCAGAACTTAATACAAGTGGCTCAGATCATTAAGAATACTTTTACATAAGATACTTCTGCCACTGACATTTCATATTTAGACTTACTTAAGGAAACATGACTGTTCCAACAAGTTTACCCACAGACGGTGCTTAAGATATTTTACTTTTGACTGGGTAGGGGATAGCTGGTGGACACACAGTGTTTGCAGTGTGTCAGGTGCTAAGCTGGGATACGTAACATATACTTTCGTTTACTCCTCACCACAAACCTGTGTGATGGGTATGATTGCTGTTGTCTTAACGTTGGGGAAACTGAAGCCACGCAGCCGGTCAGGGGTGGCGCCAGGGTCACAACCCGTCTGTCTTCCCATAAGGTCACACGCTCTGCTGGAGGCAGCGCTCTTTCGCCCTCTGCTGCGGGGTGCTATGCTTGGTGCTTATTTTACCCACGGGAAGACTGCCTTTGTGTCTTTATTTCCCTGATCTAGAGGCACAGGAAAACTGTGTGAGCCGTCTTCCACTTAGCTCCCCTTGCGGGTTTTGTTGGGTGTGACTCGTGGTCATTTCGCCTTTCCATTCCTTCCTTGATCCTGCCCATTCCTCCCTGGACCCGTCAGAAGAAGCCTGTGAGGAGGAGATACGAGCCGTATGGAATGTATTCCGACGACGATGCCAACAGCGATGCCTCGAGCGTGTGCTCTGAGCGCTCCTACGGCTCCAGGAACGGCGGGATTCCCCACTACCTGCGGCAGACTGAGGATGTAGCAGAAGTCCTCAACCACTGTGCCAGCTCAAACTGGTCAGAAAGGAAAGAAGGGCTGCTGGGCCTGCAGAACTTGCTGAAGAGCCAGAGAACACTGAGGTGAGGACAAGCGCCAGTCCCGGGCTTGACTCATGAGGCGCTTCAGGGCATTCCCTGCCACTTACGCGGTCTTGGCAAAGCTCCGGGTGGAACCGAGGGCAGGTATGCCCGGCACCGAGATGACTAAGGCGCAGTGCGTGCCGTCCAGGGGCTCTGGAATATCTGGCAAATATTCTGTCATTGATGAGGTTGGTCAAACATCCGGCTCCCTTGTGTTTCACATTTGTTCAGTAGATGCTATTTGAGAAATCTCAGCATAGGTTGCAATTCAGATGGAAATAAGTACATGAAACAACTCTGCAGGTTAGCATGATTCGTTATGCTTCAGGGTCCTGGATAAGAGGGAATCAGTCTTAGTCAAAAAATTTTCATACACACATCCATGTATGTAGTTTATAAGTGTGCATGGTGAAGCGATAATAAAATGGAGCACTCTAAGATAGTAACAGCGTTATCTCTAGAATGGATTATTTTTGCTTTATATTTCTTTTTCATAAAATTTCCAAAATAAACATGTGTTGCACAGACCAAAAAAGCATGTGTGTAGACCATATTTCACCAAACCTAGGGTGCTATTGACGCATCATCATTTTACATCCCTCAAATAATAAATGTTGCATATTAAACCACGACAATACTGTGTCACTGATTATAAGATGAATCTCAATTACAGAGATGCTAAAACATGAAAAAAGTGATGTGGAAAGGAGAAATGGGTAACTTAGAATCCGTGACACACAGTAGTATATTGTGTATCTTGGATACTATTTTTAAAGATAAGTCTCCATTCCTAAAGGGATGTCCCTCAGGTTCTGTAAAGCCCAGTGAGCACTGACAAGTTTCTTTCAGTCGGACTGCACCCTCCTGTGCTCAGACCTGTTCCATGTTATTCTGTTTATTCATGCAGATGCTATGAAAGGTTTTGTCATCTGCCTTCTGAAATATCTGCATCCCATGACCTTCTAGTGGATCTGCCAAAAACAAAATAAGGACAGTTTGTCATGATTGTTCTTCAAGAATCTGTCTAATCCTGGTGGTCCCACTTCCTAGATTCTTAGTGTTCATCAGCTTAAATGTTCCAGCTTATGACTGAAAGAAAAAGATTTTTAAAAGCCAGGCTGGCTGGGCATGGTGGCTCAGGTCTGTAACCCCAGCACTTTGGGATGCCGTGGGGATCTACCTCTATGGCCGGAGGATCACTTGAGCCCAGGAGCTAGACATAGTGAGAACCTAGGCAACATAGTGAGGACTCGACTCGACAAAAGAATAATGAGCCGGGTATGGCAGCATGAGCCTGTAGTCCAGCTGCTTGGGAGGCCGAGGCGAAGGATCATCTGAGCCCAGGAGGTCAAGGGTTCAGCGCCGTGACTGTGCCGCGGCACTCAAGCCTGGGCAGCAGAGTGAGACTCTGACTCAAAAATAAAAGCAAAGCGATAACTAATTGCAGTGCTGACTTACTGACTTTCAAATTCATCGGTTTGCATCTTATTTCCTCTAGTCGCGTAGAACTGAAAAGATTGTGTGAAATCTTCACCCGGATGTTTGCTGACCCTCATAGCAAGGCAAGTCTGGAAATGATGTTTACTTACCTTCCCATCTGCATGTCTCTGTGAACTGCATAATATACTACCCAAGAATGAGAGAGGATTCCTCGTAGTGCGGTTTTGACCTCACAGAATCACACCCATTTCAAAAGTAGTATATGTTACATTTTTTTAAAATGGAATGCTTGGACACTTAACTGTGCCTAAAATTTCAAGTTAAGTAAGTGTGCTTCAAGGAAGAGTTGCCATGGAGAGAATCGGATGTAGTCTTTCATTCAGTCAGCAAATATTTTTGCATACCTCCTGTTAGCCAAATAGTAAGCTAGGCTGTAGAATATAAGATGGTATTGTCATAGAGTGCATTTTTTTTCAGTTACAGTAGTGAAGAAAATAAGGATATAATTGTTTTTGTATCCCTTGTAGAATATAGTCTCATAGGACAAGACAGAAAAATGAAGGTATTTATCTAATGAGTTTATTGAGAAAACAAAATAGGTTAAAGGTATTTCTCAAAGTAAAATTTTGCTGTCCCCAAGCACTCGCCGTGTGGCAGTCATTTAGCTGGGGCCCACGTGTCCGAAGGGCCACGGAGCACTGAGCCTGGGCACTGCCTTCTGGACAAGCGTGCCCCAGCTGAGGGGGACATGCCCAGGAGCATTGGGCAAGGGCGTTTCCAGGGGTGGTGCTGAGAGAGCTGACTTGCCGCCGAGGTTTTAAATAAATCCTTGTTTAGAAAGTAGCGTTTAGATTCTTGTAGAGGAGGAAAACGGAGGATAAAGATATTGGGAAAGGTGGAGGGTAGGTAAAGGACAGAAGCTAAGTGTGGACACGGGTAGAGGCTTCAGTCAGCAGAAGCAAGTCTTAAACGCAGGATTAATTACAGTTTTTCTGGTAAAGACGGTCTCTTCCCAAGTCTTTTTTCAATCTTTTTCTTTTTTTGAGTTGAAGTCTTCACTCTATTGCCCAGGCTGGAGTGCAGTGGCACGATCATGGCTACTGCAGCCTTGTCCTGCTGGGCTCAGGTGATCCTTCTCCTCAGCCTTCTAAATAGCTGGAACTACAGGTGCATATCCCCCCCACACACACACACTGATTTTCTCATTTGTTATGAAGACAAGGGCTCGCCAAGTTGCTAAGACTGGTCTTGAACCCCTGGGCTAAGGCAGTCCTCTAAACTTGGCCTCTCTAAGTGCTGGGATTGCAGGCGGGAGCCACTGCACCTGACCTCATCCCACATCTTGCTGGGAGAAAGAAACTGGTGATGGCCAGAGAGTATGGCCAGTTATCATCACGGTCCTTCTTGTCCTGTCCTTGCTGCCACGTAGGAATTACCCTTGAAGTACCAAACATCCATCCACCCAGCCCTTCAGGACTTCCTGAATACCAGCCTTGGGCCAGGATACAGAAAACAGTATATGGCTCCAGCCCTTTGAGACGCTCATGGGAGCGCAGGGGAGTGGATTCTGGGGTCTCCTCCTTCGCGCCTCCCATGGTGGCTCTCCACACTCAATATTAGTCTTGATGCGTGTCTTCAAATTCCTGTTATGACCCTCATAGCAAGGTTAACATTAACCAGGATAATAAAAAACCCAAGAAAGACAGAGTTTAAAGGCCACACAGCGATCCAAAGATAGAACTATCCAGGTTTTTCTCTAAGATAGTGTTAACAAGCGGTAAGATTTAAAGCATAAGCATAAGATTAGTAAGATTTATAACATAAGGGATATTAGATGGTTTTAGAACGTTGATGCAATTTCTGTTACCTGTCACCTCTAGATTGCTGATTCAGAAGCAGAATGTGAGGATAAAGAAGGAAATTTGTTTCCATCAGAAGGCTCTTGTACAGTGAGTTTGGAGGTCTCAGTTTAGTTAATATTTGTTAGCTGCCTCTGAGCTAAGCCAGGAATCCCACAGCTGGGGCTCGTTGACTTTGACCTGAGCGGTCTCACAGGAGACCCCTGGTGGTGAGTAGTTGTAGTGCTAGAGCTGAGACCAAGTCTCATTATTCGTAAGGTAGGGAAACATAGTACTACTGTCTCCCTGAAATTGGCTTCGCGGTACTCACCGCGGGCTCTCTTTCACCTTAGATAGCAGTCATGATTACAAGACAGCATGAGAATCGTGTCAGTTTTGTAATTCTCAGCCGTGATCTTTTCTTACTTTATGTTGTCGGAAGTGGGCATACATTACAACAGCTGCCTGACATGAAAAGCAACGACTACACAGCACTAGGGATTTTTTGCTTTTTGCTCATCCTGTTGAATGCTGGATAACAACAAGAATACTATAGAGTTAGGATAATTAAGAGGTTTGGGGCACTTTTGTATTTTTTTTAATTGTGTTTTGAGTTGGAGTCTCACTCTGTTTCCCAGGTTGGAGTGTGGTGGCACAGTCATGGCCCACTGAACCTTGACCTCCTGAGCTCAGGCAGTCCTTCCGCCTCAGCCTCCTGAGTAGCAGGGACTACAGGGGCATGCTGCCACACCTGGCTAATTTTTTTTATTTTTTTATAGAGATGAGGTCTCCCTTTGTTGCCTAGGCTGGTCTTGAACTCCTAGACTCTATCAGTCCTCTCGCTTTGGCCTTCCAAAGTGCTGGAGTTATAGCCATGAGTTATGTCTGACTTGTTTGTTTGTTTGTTTATTTGTTTGTTTTTGGTTTTTTTAGGAAAGAAAAATCTTCATGATTAAACTCAGAGAAGCTAATTCTTCTCTGTATTGCCTTTTAAAGGCATATGTTGAAAGAAAAGAGTTTTTAAAAATCAGTTTGTAGCCTTTTTAGGTTTTTAAAAAGAAACTGCATGAAAATAGTATTAATTCACTGTGGACTAACATGGAATTTGTTTTGTTGCATGGCCTGGTTTGCGGTGGAATTCATAACAGAGAGTAAGTTCCAATCCTTTTTTCTTTATCTGCTTTCTATAATACATTTGCCTTCTGTACTACGAACACTCAGTTATGAGAGTCTGGGCAAAGCCAGTATGGGCATTTTTAATGTTTAGTGGACTTTGGAAAAATTTGTGAATGTAATATGTGAAATATGTGGTTTCCATTTTTGTCTAGGTTTTCAGTATGTTTTTGGAGACACTTGTGGATTTTATAATAATTCATAAGGATGATTTGCAAGACTGGCTTTTTGTTCTCCTCACACAACTACTTAAGAAGATGGGAGCAGATCTCCTCGGGTCTGTGCAAGCGAAAGTTCAGAAGGCTCTGGACGTCACAAGGTAAGTGTCTAGGGACTAGGCCATGTTGGAGTTACCAGATTCTCGTGGGAGCCTTTTTGCCCTTCTTCTCTATTACCCGTGGTTGTCACCCACTCAACCATCTGCTCTTTAATCAGGCCTCCCCTTCTCTTGTTGACATATTTGTTGACATGTTCACAAACCCATGAAACAAAATACCCGTATCTTCCTTGTGTAAGCATTGTTGTTGTGAATGCCTGTGACAAATGTGAAAACAAATGTAAAACTCTGAAAACTGGTTATCTTAATTTTAAAAACATTTAAAGAGAACATTCAGAATGTTTGTTTACATCTTTCTGAAGGCCGTAGTATTTTTAATACTTCAACTTCTTATGCGTCACAGTAGAATTTTTTTTTTTAATCAGTGTATGGTATAGACTTTCCATTGGTCCGGGAATAGTCTTTAAATTGATATTGCAATGACTTAAAGATCGATAACACATTTTACAGCCATTGTGACCCTTCTGACTGTTGGGAGAAAAGAAAAGCTGCCGAGGCTCAGAAAAGTTTAAAAAACTGATCACGTGCTGTTATCTGTGCAATTGTAGATCCTTAGCATACAAGTAGTCGAATTAAATGATTTCAGAAGACAAGTTGCAGGAATGTCTTGATTGTGGTTGGGTGGAAGATAGAGGAGAATGTCGAATCAGTGAATTTTCTAAAAGAACAAACTAGCGACTCCAAGCCACTCAGAAAATTGTCATCAGGGCAGTAACTTTTGTAAGACCCATTTACTACAAACTGGAATAATACCACAGAATTTTCAGAATGGGAAGACCTTAAAAATGATGCTTACTTTATCGGTAAGAGACTTTGCCTTGACTTGCCCAGGGCCATACTTTGTGTTAGTGGTAGTCAGTGGACTAAAATCCAGTATTTCTGATTGTTGCTAGGTTGCCTGTACCTGTTGTTGCAGTTACCCTGTGGACATTTGTTCTCCCCTCCTGTGTGTTGGGGTGAGGGGTGTGGGGGTACAGGCAGTACCTGTGCCTTTTGTTCCCTCTCTGGCTCCCTCGGCTCGCACCGTAGCACGTGCTGCCTGCTGCCCTGCATGTTTCTGTTGCTTACGTCTGCCTTCAAAGCATGAGTCTGTTCCTCTGCACCATGATGCTCTTTTCTTTTGGTCCCTGGCCCTGTCGGCCTGAATAATTTGTACTGCTGTGGAATTCTGTTATCCAAATAGCGTTCTCTTCTGGTTTTTCCTGAACTCAAAGCAACACACTACATTTGCGATGAGGCTTTCAAACTGCATCTTTCCTTTGGATGATTACGTCTCGTGGAATTAGGGAGTATTACTGGGCACCAGTATACCAATAGACTTATAAAGGTTTAGCCTTTAAAGGAATTGACTGGGAGGCTAGGCTAATACGCTGGTGTAAATGAGTGAAGTAGATGGAGGGAGGGTTACTAATAGGCTGGAGAGTGGCAGCCAGTCATGGTCACGGTGGGATCTGGGCCCAGTTGTACTAGACTTCACAAAAAAGACCAGAAATGTGGGCTTGGGTGACATATTTGAGAACTTTCTGTGACACTGAGAAGGCCAGATAAGACATGTGAGCCAGACTTGACCTGTATAGATCACTTAATTTAGGTGAATTTGTGGATAGTAAGATCCATTTCGGATTTTTAGGAGTGGTGGTGATATTAAGGTTATATTCCTAAATTTTGGTAATTAAAGAATACAACTGTGACTTCCTATTAATTTTCTTGGATGCTCCTTTTCTTTTTTTATTAATTATTATTATTACTACTACTGTTATTATTATTATTATTATTATTATTATTATTATAGATAGAGTCTTGCTCTGTCACCCAGCCTGGAATGTAGTGGCACAGTCACAGCTCATGTAACCTTGAATTACTGGGCTCAAGCGGTCCTCTCGCCTCAACCTCCCAAGTAGCTAGGACTACAAGCTACCACACCCAGCTAACTTTTTTTTAAAATTTTTTTTTTGTAGAGACAGTGCCTCACTGTATTGTCCAGGCCGGTCTTGAACTCCTTGTGCCCAGGAGATGGGCCTCCCAGAGTGCTGGAATTGCAGGCGTCGGCCATGAGCCCATCCCCTTTTCCTTTAAGAATTCTGGTCCCGGTAGATTTGGTCTGAGTCCCCAAAGCATTTTTGTTCTTTTCTTCTTTGTTTCTCAGCAGCTGAGATGCACAGCTGTTTCAGCTTCTCCAGAATCACTCAGTCGTTATTCACAGGGCATTTTCGTGATGGCTGGGAGTTGTTCCTCAGGTTACGGATCAGCCGCCTCCATTTCTTTTCCTGGGGCTGTGCCTCACAGCAGGGCCTACTTCCCGGCGAAACACGTTCGTTGCCGAAAGGCGCCGTCCGTCCATCCTTTGCTGCGGAAGGAAGGAGAGGGGAGTTTTGTGTGTGCTTTGTTGGCACAGTCACTAAGTCATGTATGCTGAACTGTACTTTGCTTCCAGGATGTCCTTAAATCTTCCAGGGCACAGATAGATGTGGGGGAAAGGATGCTGTTGGGTTAAGTTCGATTTGTGTGAATAATTGTGATGATGGTAATACTGATGCCTGATATGTGCTGTGTGCTTTTTATTTTTATTGTATTATTTAATTTTCAAATTGGTTCTGTGGCATGGATATTATTTACTTCATTTTACAGATTTGAAATCTATGTGCTTATTCATTTTACTACTGTAGATTGGGAAAAGTCTCTGAGTCCAAAGAAAGCAGAGGAATCACTCAGCCTTAATTGTAATTGGTATTTGCATTGCATTATCTTTCCTGTTAACACGGAAATTGTATCAACATTATCCGCTTGGCACTCCATTTTGTGATTTTCAACTAAACTAGTAATTGCAGCATTTTATGGGGAAGAATGGACTTTCTCTGCTTGAGAGCCCCTCAGAGTTACTTGGCTAGGTCAGAGATGTGTGATGACTACAAAAGTCAGATCAGTAACAGAGGCCGGGCACGGTGGCTCACGCCTATAATCCCAGCACTTTGGGAGGCCAAGGTAAGAGGACTGCCTGAGCCCACACGTTCGAGACCAACCTGGGCAGCTTAGTGAGACCCCATCTCTACAATAAATCAAAAAATTTGCCGGGCATGGTGGCGTGTGCCTGTAGTTCTAGCTACTTGGAAAGCTGAAGCGGAAAGATCCCAGCAGGTCAAGGCTGTGGTGGCTGGGAGCGTACCACTGCCCTCCAGCCTGGGTGACAAAGTGAGACTCCAACTCAAAAAAAAAAAAAAAAAAATCAATAGCAGGCAAGAAGGGGGGTCCTAGAGCCTCAGCTTGTATGTGTGATTTGTAACTGGATGGGGAATTTTTGTCGCTGTCTTATAGGCATTCTTTTGTGGTGACTGCAAAATCAGTCTCATAACTGTTACTGAAACTAGGGAGGACAATACAGTCAGCTTAAGCAGGGTCAGTGACAGCAGCCTAGTCAAGGGGTAAAACAGATCTGGAAGTCAGATGTGTCTTTTGTGCTTAGGAATATTCAGGGGCAATCCCCTCGGTCCCCTCCTGCTGTGGGAGCTTTTCTGTCCTCTCAGCAAATCCTACTTTCTAAAAAAAAGAATATTCAGAAAGGCAGCTGGCGGGGAAAATGAGCAAATCCCTAGGAGGGCAGATAGGAATCTCTTTCTTAGTTCATTACTTAGTCTTAATTTTTTAAATTGTTCTTCAAAGAAAGTTCAATATGTGCTTTAGGTCTTTAAACAAGAATTTCTTTTTCCCACATTTTCTACATAAATGTGCATTGCTTTAGTAATAACATAAAATGAAAAGTACTGTTTTTTAAAAAGTGAATAGGCTTGTACATATATTAATCTACAACAGTATGTTTTTGTTAAAATGGTTTGCATTCTTTTTTGTAATAAATTTATTTTTAAAAAACACTTTTTTAAAACCTAGGGACTCCTTTCCATTTGATCAGCAATTTAACATTTTGATGCGGTTTATTGTGGATCAAACGCAAACTCCAAACCTCAAGGTCAGTAATTATTTGTCTTTACAGTTCAACTGGAACTCAAATTTGTTTAAAACTTACTTTTTTGGTGCATGTCTTATGTTTAACTATTGTGAATAAATCTACTGTGAGCATTCTCGTTCAATTCCTTGTGGATATGTTCCTATTTCTCTTGGTTTAGTACCTAGTAGAAGACTTTCTGTTTCATTGGGTAGGTATATGTTGAACTTCGTTAAAAAATGCTGAAGTGGTTGTACCCTATTATATTCCTACCAGCAGGGTATATGAGAGCTCTAGTGATCTCACATCCTCACCAATATTCGGGCATTACTAGTCTTTTCTTACAATTAATGTTTAAACTAAAAAAATTAAGACATTCTGATGTGTTGAGATAGGTATTTAGTGGAATGTTTCTTTACTATTAACATTCTAGGACATGGAGCTTAACCATTACATGCTATGGGGTATCCTACCTGTAATGATAAGACCAAATTTGAGGGAGGATGTATGTTAATTGAACTGTCATGTTCATTGTCTGTTCTTGTTCTCCCATCATTAACTTGTGTTGGAGTTTTGGGATGGGCCTAATATATAACACCCCTTTTCTCCTGAGGGTAAACCAATTGAGGAGTTGGTGAAGCTAGAGCTGAATGTCAGTCTGATAACTGAAGATGCTGCCTTATAGAAAGAACATGGCCTAGAATGTGTGGCAAAACTAACTAGATAGTTGAACTGGCCCTCCTAGTCAGGGGCAGAGCTGGAAATCCCACGGTCTCCCGCATGGGCTCCTGCCCTATGTTTCGTAGCACACATGAGGAGCAGAGCATACCTTCAGTGCAAGCATGGCGCCTAAGAATGAAGAGGATTGAGCCCGCATGCTTCTTCTGTCCCCAGACTTGCCCATCAGTCATTGTGTGCTTTTTTACCAATGGATATTGCTCCACATAGAAACATAAATCCAGGAGAAAGAAAGGAGGTTCCTCCTCGACAGTGTTTACTTTTCTCTCACCACAGCTAAAAATTCTATTCAAGGATGCACCAGGTATACTTAATGTCTGTAATTATTGGATCTTTCAGGTCAAAGTTGCAATCCTGAAATACATTGAGTCACTGGCCAGACAGATGGATCCAACAGACTTTGTAAACTCTAGTGAGACAAGGCTTGCTGTTTCTAGAATCATAACGTGGACAACAGAACCAAAGAGTTCAGACGTGAGAAAGGTATGTCCGAGAGAGCTAACGTATAAGTGCATACTGTTCTTAGGCATGTGTTAGAACCTTTGTCAGGTGTTAAAACTTGCCAACCATGCCACCCAGCTACCCACAAACCTTTGTCGCTCCCCGAAAACCAAAGCTCTGTTGTTGGCCTCTTCTCTCCAGCTCTGCCCTGTTTCAGTCTTTGAACATAAAAATGAAAATCTGAAATCGTGCATTACATGTTTATGGTTTTCTCAGGCATCTATTTTCATATATTTTGTCATAGGAAATTACTAGTAGTTTAGCGTCTTTTACAAGGATGCTTGTTTTCCTTATTATCAGTTTGTAACATGTTCTTTGAAGATGAAATTGCAGAACCAAGGCTAGCTGTCTAGAGAGTGCCCAATAGTAAAATGTGGTTGAAAAACCTGATAAGATGTAGTAGATTCTTGACTTCAAAAAGTGTAAAAATCTTCCAATTACATAGCACATAAGTATGTGTGAGTGTATGTGAGTATGTGCTTTATAATGGAATGTTACTTAAGTACTCCCTGCCATGGGCTGAAACATGTTTTAGATTTGTGTGTTACCTTGATTAGAGCCTGTTTGGGGCAAACTAACATTGATTATAATGTTCATTTTTCTGTGGACATGAACATTAGACAGTTTGAACTAGGACTTACTGAGCTAACTGTCCTAAACAAGACATTTTAGGAACTCCTTTTTTGTATTCCTAAAATCTAGCCTATGGCTCCAAAAATCTAAACTTAGTTTAATATTAGCTCAAGCCAAATAAGATTAGTAAACTAGATTTATTGCCAGAAATAATTTGGTCTATTTCTGTTTGAATGATCTTCAATACTTATTTTCAGTTATATTGGGTTGTACAGTGTTGCTTCACAAAGCTTTGTCTCCACTGGCATGCTACTTGTGATGCCTGCCCCTGCTTCTCCTCCTTATCTACTGTGAAATCTGCTTAACTCCTCATCTTCGGACCTAGCTTAAACTCGGGTTCTGGTATAATCTTGATCGTCAGAGGAATCTGAGAAGAGTTAGATTGATAGTTCTTAGCCATAGCTGCAGTTAAAGTCAACCTAGGCCAGGCATGATATCTCACACCTGTAATCCCAGCACTTTGGGGGTCTGAGGCAGAAGGATCACTTGAGGCCAGGAGTTCAAGACTATCCTGGGCAACATAGTGAGACTCCACCTCTACAAAATTATCAAATTAGCTGGACCTGGTGGCGTGTACCTGTAGTCCCCACTACTGAGAAGGCTGAGGCAGGAAGATCACCTGAGCTCAGGTGTTCACGGCTGCAGTGAGTCATGGTCATGATCCAGCATGGATAACAAGAGCCTAGTTCCAAAAGAAAAAAAGAAAAAATCAACCTAGTTCCTGGACTATGCCCACATAACTTGCCTTAATTGTTATAGGTAGGGCCTGAACACTGTATTTTTTTATTGGGGTTCCCTCCACTCTCGAATGATTTTTAACGCATAGACTTGAGAGACCTGATATTTTAGTCTATTGCCCTGGGATTGAACCTCAAGACATACAAACTGATGTAGTCTTGACCTGGTTGCCCTGAATTCTCTTGCTATCCAGCCTGGCTCCTCAGTATGTTCAGGTCTAGACCTGGCCTCACTGTTCCCTAGCACCTTCCCACCTCCCGACCCTAGTACCTAGAGTTTACATGCTGCCTCTAAACCCAGTCTAGTGGGTGGAGCCCCGTTACCCTTTATGGATTTCCTTCAAGCTGATGGAACACCTACTTGGTTTTCTGTATATTGTCAACGCAGAGCATTCAGCATTGATCATGGAAAGCTTCCTAGAGAAGATAAAAATTCATCCTTAGTTACGAAATATGGATGGGGTTTGCATGAATGCTGAGCTTAGGGGAAGGGCAATAGGCATGTTGAAGAAATGAGGTTTGTCTGGGAGTAGTGACTAGACTGATATGTCTGAAGATGAGGTCTTGGGAAGCTGAACAGTAGAAGACGGTCTTGCTCACCCCACATGCTCTGCACCTGGCTTCTGTAGTAACATAGTATGCATCAATATTTTAAATAAATTAGCGATGATAAACACCAACAGGGAAACGATCTAATTTCAAATGATGTTTTGAAGCCGTTATTTTAAAAACTATAATCTTGGAAGTTCCCCTCTTTTGACTTTTATATTAGTTTTCTATTGCATAACAAATTACCACATACTTAGCGGCTTGAAACAACACAGATTTATTATCTCATAGTTTCTGTGAGTCAGGAGGGTGATGGGTCTTCTCAGGGTCCTCTGCTCAGAGTCTCACCAGGCTGAAATCAAAATATCATCTGGATCTGCAATCTCATCTGAGACTCAGGTCTTCTTCCAGCTCACTGGTTCCTAGCAGATTTCAGTCTCTTAAAGGTGTTGTACCGAGTTGCCTGCTTTCTTGCTGACTGTCAGCTGGAAGCCATTCTCAGCTAGTAGAGGCTGCCAGGATGTTTGCTTGTTCAAAGCCATCAGGAGAATATTTGAAGAAGCAGTATCCAAAAACTTCCCAAATTTGATGGGAAACATTAATCTTTGCATCTGAGAGGCTCAACAAACTCCAAGTAAGATTTTTTTTTTTTAAGGATCCACACCTAGCCATGAAATCTAATTGTTGAAGGCAAAGAGAGAATTCTTAAAGGAATAGGAGGAGAGCAGCTAATTAGGCCTCAGTAAGATTAATAGCTCATTTCTCATCAGAAACAATGGAGGGCAGAAGGCAGAGTGGGATGTCATTCAAAGTACTGAAAGGAAAAAAAAGCCTGTCAGCCAAAAATTCACTATTCAGCAAAAATATTCTTCAAAAATGAAGGAGAAATTAAAGCCAGCAGTAGAGTCTTCCTCATTTTGAACATCTCTGACCTCTTTTAAGGGCTTACCAGATTAGGTTAGTCCTACCTAGGATAATCCCCCTTTTGATTAACTTAAAGCCAACTGATTAGGGACCTTAATTACATCTTTGAAAATCCTTTCTGCCATGTAACATAATCGTGGGAGTGATATCCTTTCATAAGTCCTGCTTACTCTAGGAAAGGGGATTATATAGAGTGCAGTCATGGGAGGAGAATCTTGGGGGCCATCGTAGTGTTTTGCCTACCAGGGCTTTCATATCTCTTTCAGTGGGTTTCCAAAAGGCTTCCATAGTTAGTAGATAGTTCCTCAGCTCTTATTTCATTAGGGTGCTTTTTACTTGTCTGTGCAAATTATGATGTAGTTTAACTTATTTAGCAAATGCATGTCTGTGTTCTGGGTACCCCCAGGTTGGTTTTTTTTTAAATCATCCAAGGTGTCTGTGACTCTATATTATTTGGCTTTCAGTCCACATTCAGGACTGACTAATAAAGCATTATTATTTGATTCAAAGAGATACATTATAGCACAATATTCAAATATAGGTCCACAAACTATACATTAGGGTACTGCGAATTGTTCTTTTTGAGATAGATTCACTTTTATTTAAATTTCCTATTTTGATGTACCATCCATTAGACATTTATAAATACAATTGCTGTTTTAAGTGATGTAGCTGCCTCACTCAAGAATATGAGATGTTTTTGAAGCATTGTCTGAATGTAATGCCTAAATAAATTTAAAATACTTAGAAATCGTGGTGTGGTATATATATAGTGCTGCTTTAAAATCTAAAATTGTCATTATTTCAGAGCTTTGTAAAATTAAAACTAGGACCATTCTTGTCCAGATAACTTAATACACTAAAAATAAAATGTGTCCGTTTTAAATAAACTTAGGTTTTGTCTCATCTTTCATTTCCAGAGTTTTTAAAAGGTTATATCAGGTATTATGGAAGTCTTGGTGATCTTGAACAAAGTTATCCTGTTAGTGTTCTGCTTTAATTTTTTAAGAGTAAGGTAGGCAAACGTATGGACCTTGCAGCAACTTGGATGGATTTAGAGTCTATCATACTTAGTGATCTATCACAGAAACAAAGAACAGAGTAGCACAAGCTCTCACGGATAAGCAGACCACGATCATTTACCATAATACTATAAGAAAGGGATTGGCAGGAGTGGGGGACTGCCAGGGGTGTGAGGGGGGCACACTTTATCAATAAGGGTACCTGATCTCAAACCAGGCAAAGTGGGGACCAAAGGGAGGCCCAAACTTTACCTGTACGATGACCACTTGTATACCTAATCCTGAATTGTAGTACCCCATATCTTTAAAAAGAAAAAAAGCAGGAAAAATAAAAATAAAAGCAGTAGTTTTGGGTTTTTTTTTCTTAAAGGATAAGTTAGGGCTATATCCAAATACCGAAGAGCCCTTCAGTCTGAAGTCTATATATTAAACTTTCTTATTGGACCCTTTTCTGGAGAATATTAATTTTATGTAAACAATACCTGAGGAGTTTGCAGACAACATAATTATTTCTGGCAACATAATTCGTTCTCTAAAGCTATCAGATTGTACTTGTGAAAGCACTTCTGAAGCATTTTAAACAAGCGAATACAGCTCAGATTCATTGACTTCAGCATTTTATTTTTAATTGTTTTCATAAAAGTGGCAAACTTTGACATTTTTAATACCATGTTTCCCTTCGTAGCCCAGTGTTTTGGGCTATTTCACATTTTAGAGGGAAGGGGTACTTAAACACTTAAGATGTTTTCAAAACCAAAACATAAACCAATTACAAGTAAAGTGTGCTTACCAGACTGTGACTGGTTTGGACAAGATAGCAAAGCCCCATTCAATCTGTAGGGGGCCTGCTTTATTTCAGAAGTAACCTTTTCCATTTTCTAAGTGTGGGAGCTCTGACTGGTATTGTGTTGACAAAACTACAGGAATACACTAAATCTTTGTTAATGCAATGTGTTGGCATAGGGTAACAGAATATATTTTTAGTAGAAAGTGGATTCTAGAGTTTGACCTCCATTTGACTTCTTCCTCTGCCACTTGTTAAGGTGGGAGTAAGTAATTTAATCTCTGAGTTCCTTTTATTATCTGTGAAATGGGAATAATAATACTTGCCATGAGCTGAGCATGATGGTGTGTGCCTATAGTTTCAGATACCCAGGTGACTGCAGTAGGAGGACGGTTTCGGCCTACAGAGAGAGACCCCATCTCTTAAATAAACAAGCAAACAAGTAAATAAAAACTTGCCTCAGGCACTACTTAGGAGGATTAAATTTCATTCAAGTCTATAAAAGCATAGATAAATATTGTTTCACTTGCTATTTCGGCTCTTGCTGTTGTTGTTTGGGAGTTGTTTTTGCTGTTACTGTTTATGGAATGAACTGAGTACCCAATTTTTTCCAGCATTTAGGAAGCTGTATGCTCAACCAAAGGGAATGTGGTGTGTTAGACATGGTGGCTCACACCTGTAATCCCAGCACTTTGTGAGATGGAGGTGGGAGCATTGCCTGGGCCCGGGGGTTCAAGACCAGCCTGGGCAACTTGGCGAGACCTTGTCTCAACAATAAGTCAGAAAATTAGTAGTGTGTGCCTGTGGTTCCAGCTACTTGTAAGGCTGAGCCGGAAGGATCGCCTAAGCCCTGCAGGTTGAGGCTGCGGTAGTCATGAGTGTACCATTGCGCTCCAGCCTGGGTGACAGAGTGAGACTCTGACTCAAAAAAAGAGAGGAGGATGTGGTAATGGCAGTGGAATTTTAGTTGCATATTTAAATTTTGAGATTCAGAATGTGTGTATGTTCGCTTATCGTGTGTGATTCTCTTTGTCAAATAAAATAAAAGTTAGCCCCCAAACATTGCTTTGAGAAATGTGGGAAAAGAAACATAGCAAAGAAACCTAGAAAGATGCTATTGGCTGGAGCAGAAGTATATAAACAGCCTTGAAAAGGTGAGATTTCTAACTGGTTTTTTAAAAAAAATCTGTGATGACGGAGGCAGCATGGCCTAATGTAGAAGTTAAAGGTTTCACCATCAAATAACGAACTCTCAGCTTAACAGTGACTGTGAATTCCTTTCATGTCTCATTTCACCTCTGATCTTCCATTTTATCATGTGAAGACTACTGCTTCCAGGACCTAGCCAGTAACTGAGGGCTAAAACTGGCAGCTACTGTTACTGTTCTTACTCTTGCTAACTTTTGATTATATGCAGCTCCCTGACTTTATATAAGATGCCAGATATATTTATATCTAACAAGTAGCCACGGTTAGGCACTTGCTGCTTCTCTCTGATTCAATCCTCCCACCTTTCCTGTTTGCCAGTCCTCACTTCAGCGTAGTCGAGTAGGCGAGGATTTTCCCACTAGGTCAGCTTCAACCTGCTCTGGGCCTGGAGAAGGAAACTTGGAAGAAAGTTGTAAACAGGTAGATTGAAAACTGTGTACTAATTTCAAGCAATATACTTCACTGTTTGCATCTTAGATTATTAATACCAGCTACCCCTGTGAAGACACTGGGAGGGTTTTGAAGAACCCTAAAATTAATATAATACTATGTGAGCATGTGTGTGTGCACACACCTCTGTTAGCATTTGTGTTGTGGTGTGTTTTATAACTAACTACCTTACCAGTGGAACATCCATGTTGAGTGTAGACAGCTAGCATTTTTTTTCTTTTCTTTTTCTTTTTTTGTTTTGACTTGGAGTCTCACTTCATCGCCCAGGCTGGAGTGCAGTGACATGCTCACGGCCACCCCAGCATCAACTTGCTGGATTCCAGCGATCCTTCCACCTTAGCCTTCTAAGTAGCCAGAACTATAGGCATGTGCTACCACACCTGGCTAATTTAAAAAAATTTTTTTATTGTAGAAGCTAGGTCTCGCCAAGTTGCCTGGGCTGGTTTCAAACCTACAGACTCAGGCAATCCACTCACCTCGGCCTCCCAAGGTGGTGGGATTACAGGCTGAGCCACTGAGCCCGGCAGCATATTTTAATGGAATGACAAGGAAAGATACTAGACTGGGCACATGAGCCTGTAGTCCCAACTACTTGAGAGACTGAGGCTGGAAAGATACTAGACTGGGCACATGAGCCTGTAGTCCCAACTACTTGAGAGGCTGAGGCTGGAGGATCGCTGGAGCCCAGGAGTTAAGAGCCTGCAGTACACTACAGCTTGTGAATAGCCGATGCACTCCAGCCTGGGTAGCATAGTAAGACTCCATCTCTTAAAAAAATTTTTTTGCACACTCAAATAATAGTTTCTACCCATTTCTAGAAATTTGATCTCATTAAAAAAAGATTTTACTTTGGAAGCCACTTTAAGCTATAAAGTTTATAATTTGCTTCTTGAAAAACCTCAAATTAATTTGTGACATTAGATAAAATATTCGGGAAAGAAATATAGTCTCCTAAATACAGTGGCTCATTTCACATAAAAATATACTATTCAAGAACATAGTGATACATTGTATTTGTTTGTTGGTTTTTTGAGTTGGCGTCTCACTCTGTCACCTGGACTGGAGTGCAGTGGCACGATCACAACTCACCGCAGCCTCGGATTCCTGGACTCAAATGTTCCTCCCACCTCAGCTTCCCAAGTAGCTAGATCTACAAGCACACACCACCAAGCCAGCTAATTTTATTTATTTTGTGTAGAGATAAGGTTTCCCTATATTGCCCATGCTGGTCTCGAGCTCTTGGGCTTAGGCAGTCCTCCCACCCTAGCCCCCCAAAGTGCTGGGATTACAGGCATGAGCCACCACACCTGACCTAATGATAGATTTTATAACTTTCAGATGTCATTTTCAGTCAGCAGAAATCTAAGTGCCTATACTTTTTAATTAAATTGGTTACATTTTTGTGTTTTTCCTGCTAAATTTACTCCGATCTTCTTTTTTTCTTTTTGTAGTACAGTTTGTTTGCATGTGTTTTTTTTTTCCCCTAACATCTTAATGAAATGTTTCTTTAAATGCATAAGTTACTTTGCATGATTTTTGGTAATTGTTCTGTTATACAAATACACAAATCACGTTAACAGTACATTAAATGGGTGATGAAATAGGTTCTTTCAGATAATGGTTTATTAAAAATTCTCAATAATGAAATATAGGAATTTCAATACAATCAATAATACTGCTTTTTGCCCATGCTATAAAAGGTATCTAGCCTTTGTGATTTAATTTGAGTCAAAAAGCTATTAATGACTATACTTGGAGATCAAGGCAAAGAAATAATGTGCTTCTGCCCAATGCTATGCTTAATGAATGATTTTGAAGTGTTAAAAAATGATTTTTGACTGGGCACAGTGGCTCACGCCTATAATCCCAGCCCTTTGGGAGGCCGAGGTGAGAGGATTGCCTGATCCCATGGGTTCAAGACTATCCTGGACAACTTGGCAAGACCTCATCTCTACAATAAATCAGAAAATTAGCGGGGCGTGGTGGCACGTACCTGTAGTTTCAACTGCTTGGAAGGCTGAGGCGGAGGGATCACCTGAGCTCAGCAGTTCAAGGCTGCAGTGACCATGAGCATGCCACTGCACTCCAGGCTGAGTGACAGAGTGAGACTCCAACTCAAAAAAATTTTTTTAAAGTGATTTTTGGTTCTATAGAGAACATTATTCTACTGATACTTTTAAATTCATAGTTCTTATTTTTTGCTTAAATACATTTGGATCTCTGGATTGTTTTCTCTTTTCTATGCACAGAATAGTAGTTTTATCCACACTGGATCTAGAATTAATGCTAACATTGTAAAAGCATTTAAATATTTTGTAATGTTTATGTTCAAAGGATTTCTCAACAAGCACATTTTTATGTAATATTCTGTATCATGGAAAAAATACTGTGAATAATTACCGCAGTCCTAAAAATTATAGCCTTTGGAAAGAATTTGTGCTTTTAGTAAAAGTGAAAAAGAAATGATTGTATATACAGAAACAGTTTTAATAATTAATTTTCTCTTGCCCCTTAGAAATTAAGAAGAAATGACAATTAGTATTGACTAAAATTTTTTGGCTTAGCTTTTGTAAACGAAAACTCTTGGAACGAATTCCTCGGTGCTGTCTGTGAAGCTCAGATTGCCTGCTGCTAAACCGATACCATCGAAAGCATGTCATGCACTAGACAGGCCGAGTCTCACTTGGCCACTCTTGATGTATTGCTTTCCCTGCTTGCTGCTGCAGCCATACAAGCAGTCCTGCTGTAGTGAACTCAGTTATGAAGGGAAGTAGGACGCCTTCCAAAAGGCACAAGAGCAAGCGTTCCATTCATCCCTTTTCGGAGTCTGATTTGCTTCCCAAAGTCTCTCTCCTCAATTCGTGGGTGTAAAAGTAGGAGTTTTTTTAGAGGTAGTGACACCATCTTTTTCTAGCATTTCTTGGTCAAGAGCAGTGAAGTTGAGGCAAAGTGGTTTCTCAAGATAGCCCAGCGGCAGCTTGTTTAGAAATGCATTTTTTCCAGGGTGCATTGGGAGCCCAGTCCCATTCTGACTTATTAGAGTGGGAACGGTCTTAAGTATTTTAATTGTTTTATTTACCTATATATCAGCTTCTTTCCTAGTGCCAGACAACAGAGGAAGAGTTCTAGGAATCTATTGCTGTGGAACCCTAAGGCCAGAGCACAAAAATGAAGCCAGGGCTTGTTTTCCAGACTGAAGTCAGACTACTTATGATTGACATTATTTTCTCCAGATCTTTTTTAGCTTTGTGTCTTACGCCTGAAATACCCTCTGAGTAATGATTTATTTTACTTACTTGAAGTGTTTTTAAAAACAATTTTAATGACTATTTTGACTAAGACATGCTATGTGCATTTATGTAAATTAATCGTGGTTTCTTTTTCTAGGCAGCACAAATTGTGCTAATCTCTCTGTTTGAATTGAATACTCCTGAATTTACCATGTTACTTGGTGCCTTGCCAAAAACATTCCAGGATGGTGCCACCAAACTCCTGCATAACCACCTCAAGAATTCCAGTAACACCAGTGTGGTAAGGGCTTTGGTTGCAACTGGTGCCTGTGTGCTGACTGTGACCTCTGCATCTCCCCTCTCTAGAATCTGCCCTGATAGAATCGCCAGCTTCCAAGTTGTCTCTTGGTAGATGTGGGTGTCCCAAAGGTGGAGGCCATGACTGATCCTGCCTTATCCCCAGTGAATGAGTGGAACCGGTGTTTAAGTATGACCTTTTCCTTAGGTTAGGTTGTTCAGTCAGTTATGTTTTTACTAGGTCATCAATTGTAGTCATTCATTGAGTCAGTCTTATTTTTCAGTACTGTAAAGTTGTTGATTGCTCAATTGTGTCCGTCACTAACACAGCCAACTCGGCCATGACTCCAGTAATGCCTATATAAACAGTTACCCATTTTTTATTTACATGCATTTAAAATCGGTCTTGGAAAAAAATTATTCTAAGCACATTCAACCCACTTATTTACATGTGGGTTCAGAAGAACAAGGGAGAAGTAGCCCAGGCTGGAGTGTAGTGGCAGCCTCAACCTCCTGGGTTTATGCAATCCTGGACTACAGGCATGCACCACTAAGCCTGGCTGATTTTTAGATTATTTTGTAGAGTCGAAGCCTCGCTGTGCTGCAAAGCGAGGTCTCGAACTCCTGGGCTCAAGCAGTCCTCCTTCCTCAGCCTCCCAAAGTTCTGGGATTATCTGCATGAGACACTGCACCCAGCCTAGAACTGTATTCTATATACGGCCCTTGCATAATGGTGTTTATTTTGCCTTTACACCAGGGCTCTCCAAGCAATACGATTGGCCGGACGCCCTCCCGACACACCAGCAGCAGGACCAGCCCTCTGACCTCACCTACCAACTGTTCCCATGGGGGCCTGTCTCCAAGGTAAGGTCACTTCCACAGAAGTAAAGAAATTAAAGTACCTCAATATCTGTGCAGCCTGTTTCTAGATTTTTAGAATAAACTTAACACCAAAAAGAGTATAGGCATCAGGAAGCCATAGGTTCTAGTCCTCATTCAAATGGTAACTGTGCAATCTTGGGCAAAGGCATTAACTTCTATGGTAAAGTTAATGGTCTGTACTGAATGTTCTCTGTGGTTCTTCTAGCTCTGAACACTCTGTAGTACCGTATAGATTTTAAAGTGAAAAGTTGCAGGGCCAGGCGTGGTAGTTCATGCCTGTAATCCCAGCACTTTGAAGGGCCGAGGTGAGAGGATTGCCTGAGCCCGCGAGTTCGAGACCAGCCTGGGTAACTTGGCGTGACCTCATCTCTACAATAAACCAAAAAAAAAAAAAAAAATTAGCCGGTCATGGTGGCGTGTTTCTGTAGTTCCAGCTACTTGGAAGGCTGAGGCAGAAGGATCACCTAAGCTTAGCAGGTCGAAACTGCGGTGGCCGTGAGCATGCCACTGCCTTCCAGCCTGGGTGGCAGAGTGAGACTCCAACTCAAAAAAAAGAAAGAAAGAAAAGTTGCATTGAATACTGTTTTACTTAGAATCCATGTAGAAGCTCATTACTAATTCTGTAATTGATAGGAAAACCTGAAAATATTTAGACATGTAAGTAAACACTTTATAGTCAGTCCACACCGAGTCTGGGTAACTTTCAAACCAAGTGGCCGTTTTAGGTATAGTTGCTATCAAGTTTGAAGCAGAATATTGCTCTGTAGGCCTGTGTTTTACAATGTGGAAACTAAAATAGGATCAGCATTTTCAGACTTTTGTTGGGACCATACAAACACTGGCCTTATGAAAGTTAGGGCAGTGACTTAACAAGAGAAAACACTTTGAGGATCTTTGGTTAATACTACACCATCTGATCAGAGCCTGTAGAAATCTGCATGGTGGCTTCAGAGACGCCCTCACATGGGTTGGAAGTCACACATGGCCCCACTCAGAGTCGTGACCCTACAGACCCGAATTTTTAGGAAGGAGCCAGCATCTGGACCAGCTGTGTTTGTCTCTGAGAAGTCTAGATCTTTGGGATCACTAACGATGTAAACCAGAAGGCATTTGTCCTGAGGGTTGCTGACACCAAGATCTTAAAATGAAACAAAAATACTGCAAGTGTGCTACTTTTCCCTTTAGGCTTCCTCTTTCAGAGAAAGCTATCAAAAAATAATTGCCTTTAAATTTAGATTTTTTAAATGATCCTTCCTTAACCACTGCAGTTCTCTCTAGTTCCCCAGTTATCCTTCACATACTTTGGAACATAACACATTTGTATTTTTCTCTTGATGAAAGAGTATTTTATGTGCCTATGGTAGGTATCTTGCTATTTATATTGCCTTATGTTTGCGTCTCCAAATGTCTCCCTGTATTTTAGGTAGGTAGAAGGAAGTAGAATGGATATTTTCAGACTTGGTGTGTGTTGTCATGGTTTCAGGAGGCAATTACAATTAGACAGTTGAGATCAGAAACTAATGAAAATATACCTGACTTTACCCAGATATGACTGAGGCTCATCCACCTTTTTTTTTGTTTGTTTAGCACCAACAGCGGTATCCAAAGAATATGATTTGTCTTAAATGGCCAGGGTTCAGTGGTGACAGTAAAATCATAAAGTCTTTCCTGCTGGGGAAAATTTTATGGAAAACTTGAGCTCTCTGTAAATTGTTGCCTTTGTCTAGAAGTAATTGATATTCCTGCAGCATGAATTGAAAAATCTGTTCCTCCATAATACACAGTTTATATGTCTTAGCTTTCATTTATAGCATTCTTTTAGGGTGGCACATTCTTTGGGTAACAACTGGTAGGTGCTGCTAGCATAAGCCATCAGCGCTAAGAACTAGGTAGATATTAATCTTCATGTACCCTCAAGTCATTAAAAATATTATTTTTCCAGGTCACCATTCTTTCTTAATTGGCCTCATCTTAATTTGTACTTTTAGGATTAAAGATCAATGGAAGAAAGGAAGATATTTATTTCTAGTATTAAAAAGTTCCAGTGTAGCACAAATATTTTCTTGTCCAATTCTTCTTTAGGGAATTTTTTATGTAATCTATTTCTTTAGAAAAGAAATCTCATTTAGTGTATAAATAACCAGATGACTTTAGCCAACTTGAGATCACGGAAAAATAATTTTTCTCACTATTAAAACTGTCCAGGAGTGGGAAAAACTACCTCACATCATCATGTCACTAGAAATATTCAATTAGGCTATATACTTTCTAACAGGAAAAGTATAAAAGAAACGGATTCTTGTGCTAAATAGGAGAATCAACTGAGCTACCTCATTCTAAGGGGATGGTAGACAGTCTTCAATATATAATCTCAGGTGTTTTTCTGAGCAGTGCTCTTGAAACATTGATTTTCTGTGACCTGCTGTTCTTTTGAATGATCGTAACCATACAGTGTTAGCTTTTTATTCTTAAGGGGCAAGCTATTAGCAATTATTGTTGTCATTCTAATGCTGAGTACGAAATGAACTAGATTGTTGTTGTTTTTTTTAATAGCCCAAAAGTTCAATACTTGGATCATTGTGATAATAAAGAACTAATCTAATATGATGAATAAAACTAAAACAAGCAATTAAAAAAATGTTACTAGTGAAGAAATCATTTTTATCTACCCAGTAGTATTAGAGATGCCATAGATAATTGGTTAAACTTTTGTAAAACATTCCATTAACCATCATTTCTGTGTGAGAGAATTGCTGCCTATTACCAACTAATACTAAGTAATATTTGCTTGAGATTTATGAGCTAAGATCTTTCGTTATTAAACACATATTTTACCCGATGTGATTTTATGGTAAATTGAAAACAGAGTTGCAGAGGGCTTCAGAAATTGAAGTCCATTTCCTCTAAGAAAAAATAGTGTCTGGTGGTCCTTGCTCCAGTCTGCTGTATGTTCCTGGCAAACATATAATAGAACAGGATGACACGACTAAATCGGCTCCGTGTCCCCTAGCAATAGGAAGTAACTTCAGGTAGAGGTTACGTAACGTTCCTCTGGTCAGGGGACCAAGACTATCAGTATAGTCAAGACGGAGATTAGTGGGGAGACCCTGCCCCCCCACCCCGGTCAGCAGACCCAGACCTGAGGTATTGCCGGTATTCCTGTCATGCCCCACCCCCACGCCAGCGTATGGCCTGGAGAAGGCCTCTGTGGCACAGGGACCCCACATTTCATGCCTTAACTTCTTTGTCGGATGGGGCCCCTGGCTGCCCCTGGAAGAGAGGGTGCAGGGCTCCTGCTGTGAGGGCACTGCTGGCGGTAGGCAGGGCTGCTCCGTAAGGTGCCTGTCTCTGGTGCCAAGACCCCGCCCATGGTCTTGCCCCGCTCCCCGCTTGCCCAGTCTGTCTCCTCCATCCTTTTGGATCACAGCAGTTGCTTGAACTTTCCTGTGAAGCCTCTGCAAGCCCAAGTCACCCAGTGACATTCGTGAAGTGCAGACAGATACCCTTGTTGCCAGACGAGTTACAATTCTCACTAAGTGATATGAGCATGGGAATTCGACCTTTTTTTTTTTGGTTCCCCTACTCTTTTTTTCTTTTTTTTTTTTTTTGAGTCGGAGTCTTTGTCACCCAGACTGGAGTGCAGTGGCACACTCTCGGTTACCGCAGCCTCGACCTGCTGGGCTCAGGCGATCCTTCTGCCTCAGCCTTCCTAGAAGCTGGAACTACAGGCATGTGCCACCACGCATGGCTAATTTGTTGATTTATTGTAGAGATGAGGTCTCGTCAAGTTGTCCAGGCTGATCTCAAACCAGTGGGCTCAGGCAATCCTCTCACCTTGGCCTCCCAAAGTGCTGGGGTTATAGGTGTGAGCCACTGTGCCCAGCAAGTTCCCTTACTCCTAGCTGGCCATTTGAGACTTAACACCCTAGTCCCATAGTGGTACTACTGTTCTTTCAGAAGGAAGTTAATATTGGCAGTTTCTGAACTCCATTTTAGTGGATCCAGCCTCAGAGAGCTCACTGTCCCACACTGCAGGTGCCCTGGTCAGAGTAGCACAGTCTGTGAATCTTCCTGATGGAATCCCCCGGTTCCCGTTTGCATTGGAGTCTCATAATTCCTTCTTCAGTGCTTTCTAAAATAACTGATGAGTTATCTGAAACTGAACATCCGTGTGTTCTTACGTGTCAGTGCTTACTGTATCCTTCCCAATATAGGCAGACACACACCCTCACCCATACACACAGTCTCACATATGGACACGCTTGGAAGCCAGTGTGATTGTAAATAGTAAACACATCCTGTGGTTGGGAGGGGAATGAATAAAACCATTTGATTGAGGACCGTATTGTAAAACAAAATTTACTCTTTTTCTCTGTATGATGAAGTGCTAATTTTGCTTCGATTAATTTTGACAGAACTTTGCAAGGAAGGAGGAGACTCTAAGCCACTGAGAGTATAGTACCTTTCTCCTCCCCTCCCCGTTGCCTTTGTGTTTCTCTCTCTGATTTTCCTCTTCTGATCACTGCAGTCGGTTATGGGGTTGGAGTGCCGATGGGCTCTCGAAGCACCCACCTCCCTTTTCTCAGCCCAACTCCATTCCCACCGCTCCCTCCCACAAGACTCTCAGGCGCTCTTACTCTCCCAGGTAACAAACTACCTGTTACACTTGTCTGAGGTGTCACAATATTATTGCATTTCCAAGGTCGTCTCAGGTCTTTTGGATAGCCTCTCAGCTGCCTCCAGGTTGGTCTCTGCCTTGGCTGAGCCTCGCAAGAGAAGAGCCTTGGTGAGAAGCGTCAGCAGGTGCATGATCTTTGCTGAACTCACAAGTATGGCTCCTGCCATGTCACAGGCACAGATGACCCATTGGTCACCTGACCATACTCATCACCATCTCTCTGTGGTTCATTGTGGGCATTTCAGCTCAGGGCAGGGGTCAGCTCCCAGAAGGAGCTCAGGAGGTGCCGTGAGGCCAGGGCAGTGAGGGTAAGCAGTTTTCTTAGCGTGCTTCTCAGGTCACAAGGAGCTGCACATGTTGCTGTCAGCCATACTGTTGACCATGTGGCTGGTTTCTTCCTTAGTATATTGTCACGTAAGGATAGTCTGCCACACAAGTCCGGAAAGGAAGCCCAAGAGGAGGAATCACAGTCACATCTTACACTGTCACATCCCTACCTCTAGAAAGGAGTGTCAGTCACCTCACAAACCCCTGCAGTTGGCACTAAGTGAAGCTCTCGGACACTGGTTGAATGTGCCAATGAGTCTAGAAGAAGGAATGGGCTCCCCTCACTTGTTGAGACAGATGGTAAACCTGCGGTATGAAGAAGGGTCCACATAGTACTGCGATGTCTATGTCAGGGTCTCTTGCGTGTGCTTTTTATAAGGTCCAAAGATCGGAGAACCCTTTCCCTAGAAACCTGTTAGAGCTTGGGGCTTTCCAGCTGTCAGTGTGCTTTGTAAGAGGAGTTTGTATCCTCTGTGATAGAACAAGGGTTAAAAAAGAAATAGTTTGTTACTTTTGAAATGCTTCATGGATAGCTTTTGTATGGGTTTGCATTCCTGCTTTTATATTTCTCAACGTAGTGAAACACTAGTCAACAAATCAGCTAGATATTTTAACATCTTTCTTTTAAAGCTCTTGCAGATCTGAAAGTAACTTCTAAAGCATAAAGAGAGCACTGGGATAAATGTTAGGACATACAGGGTTAGGGAAAGCAGACAAGGAAATGGCTGCTGTCTGTAATGTTAACAAAGCATGTCACTACTTATCTTTGGAAGGTTAGCTGTGCTCCCAATATACTGACCTGAGCGCCCTTAGGGACATTAAGCTTTACTCTCAGCCAGCTGTCAGGACTGCCCCTTCAAAGGACCTTCCGTTCCTGGAATCATCTTTCATATATGCACACAGTGATATAAGACAGGACCCAAAAAAACTAGAATTTATTTATAAAAAATTGTGTATTTATTCTTACATGTTTAAAAACTTCCGTCACCTTCAAAGTATTCTCCGTTTGATGTAATACACCTATAGAGATGCTTTTCCCACTGCTCAGAACAGTTCATAAACTCATCAATTTTGATGCTTTTTAGTGCTTCTACCATTTCTTGTTTCACTTTTTCCACATCAGCAAAACGTTTCCCTTTGAGGACTCTTTTCATCCAGGGAAACAAAGCAAAGTCACTTAGGGTGAGATCAGTTAAATAGGGAGGGTGAGGCACAGGAATTATGAAGTTTTTGGTCAAAACCCACTGAACACTCAGCGTGGCATGGTCAGTTTCACTGTCATGGTGAAAGAACCAGTCAGTCACCTGTTTACCACAACTCGGGACATTTCTCCGCAAATCGTGAGGCAGCCCCAAAACTTCCAGATAAAAACTTCAGTTGACTGTTTGATCTGGAGCAACAAATTCTGAGTGTACAACAAGGGACCCGCCCTCCAAAAAATAATTCCAGTTTTTTTGGGTCCCCCCCTCGTATATGTCGATTTAATTCATTAGGAAATACTTATACTTTGGTTGAGCATTGGAGGGAGACATAGTTGAATAGAGACATATCTAGAAAACTATTGGCTACATAAAACTAAGAGGGAATCTATGTCTGTCTCTTTGTCCTGTGCCAAAATCCTCTTAATTTCATGACACAGAATGAGTAATCGTACTCCATACTTAGCATTCTTTCCCTACACAGTGACAAAGAAGAAAACTTCAGAAGGCATTCTTCCTCTTTCCGGTTTCTCTCTTGGAGACCTATTCCCATGCTCCTTTCTACCGAGGACATGTATCCGTTAGAGGGCAAGCCCAGGGCTGAATTGAGCTTTGGTGTTGGGTGACATGGCCTGCCCTAAGGTCAGTGACTGTTGCCTGAATGATGAGGAACTCTTCCTGATCTGAAGAATCCTGGGGAAGCCCTTCTGGGGTCTAATGGGGGTGTTTACAGGTGACCAGAGCCTGACCTTTAACCCAAAGGATTATGTCCTGGGTTGTCTGAACTGAAACAAGACAGCCTGTGGGGCAGAGAGCAGACTGAGGTTTACCTAAGTCTCTTTTCAGTCAGCTTTTGAGGCTGTCCTGCTGCTTCCTGAAACATTGCTAGTGAGGACGCAGTGTCTACCCCTCCCTGATGATGGCACTCATGGGAAGTTCGTTTTTCTTTATGAAGTGAGGACCTAACAGGTATTGATTTTAAAAGAGACAAATCAAGCCAGAGCTGAAAATAACAAAGACCGTTACATCATCTGTTTCCTGCTAGAGGAAAGCAGTTATGTCTCTCACCTGGAGCTCACAGTTTTAGCTTCATACCAAGGAGATACTTCAAATCTCAAGCCAGTGAGTCCAAAAGTAGACACCTCAGATTGTACTCGGTCATGCCCATGGTGTTCCTGAATTGGAAGTTTGAGTGAATTTATTCATTGAAAGTGAGAAGGAGGAACATTACCTGGCAGAATCCTTTATGTTATTTTAAAAAGAGGCTATTGTAATGATAAAGTTATATTTATCATAACTTATGAAATGAACAGAAATGAAATATTTTAAGAAAGTTCAGGTGAAAAGTAACGAGATGAATTACCTGACAGCTAACATTATCTTCTGAAGCGACATATGGAAAATAATATTGTGACATCCCTTAAAAACCCCGAACGTTCCGCCAGATTTCCTCTTGTTCATCCCATCATGCTTTCAGTTTTTGTTTTTTTCTTTTGCATGGGCCATATGCTATTGTTTTTGGTTGCTGTGATTTAAAGTATTTTAAGACATTTTTTACATCTTGTGACTATATTTTTTGTTTGAGTCATAATACTTAATCTTTACATGTGAAAAACAGTGTACTGGCCAGATGTATAAATGCCCTTGTTCGTACATAAGCTAGTAATGTGATGTTCTAGGAAAGGAAGCAGGGAAGGAAGCCTCCGCGGCCTCAGCTGTGCTTTCTTCACTTCCCTACGAGGGGTGTTGCCTCGTAGACAGATAGCCTGGCTGTGAACGTAGAGAGGTTGAGATCTTGGATTCTGTTCAGGTTTTTTATTCTGCCTCCTGCCGTTATGTACTTGGAATTTCAGCTGTAAACGTGTTCAAAGGTTCACATTTCTTTTCATTTGATGCCAGAGTCAATCTTTGAGTTGGCGTACATTTTTGTGAGCCCTCCAGATACAGTCGGGGTGTATTTCCTTCCATTCATCAGAAAATATGGATTCTATCTGGGCCATTTTTGCAGTTTTAGGCAAATAGCTTCCATCTCTGAGAGTTGAGTTCAGCTCTTGTGCTCTAGCAGAACATGCTAGCACCAGCCTTAGAAAGCACGTGGATCATTGCAGCCTCGAACCTGTAGAGCTCTGACTACTCCACATGAGACCTCTCCAAATCTTGTCTTGCTCATCTGCCCAAGGTAAATGGGGAGGGGCTTAGTAAACATCAATTATGTTTATGTTACAGGAAACTTACTTCTTGGAGAATGTATAGGGTCAGTTGTGTTGCCCTTAGGAAGAGTTCCCACCAGTTAGTACCTAGTTTCTTTATTCATTACTTCAAAGAACAGGAAGGTCGCTTTTCTTTAGTCCTTCATAATGTTGCATAGTTATTTATATACAGCCGAGGATTCTTTGGGTGTCCCTAGCTATCTTTCGTATAGCTCAGGCCTTTTTGGAAGTTAGACGGACTCATCTGATCTTAATTCTTGAGTACTTTTGTGAAACAGGGGACATTTAAACTAAGATTTTTCTATTTGCCCTTGGTTGACAGTTGCTCCATGTTTTGCTTGCTTTATGCTGGTATTCTATCCTATGGTTTTCTTTTATATTCTCAGTGAAAGGAAGTGATGGTTTTTGTTCTCAGGATTCTCTCTGTTCAGGGGATTTCTCAGACATCTAAAGAGCACTTGTTGACACACTGCAGTACACCAAAAAGGTTTGTTTAGCTTTACTGCTTCATTTCATGTTTTGTTATGCTCAGCGTCTAAAAAGACAGCAAGTGGCGTCACTTTTCTATGAGGGACAGATATTTCTTCTAAAAGCGTTTTTAGATATTCATCCAAGAATGTGACTTTTTATAAAATCTGCTTGTATTGCAAAACTCTACATGGAAGCATCTGGAAGAATCTGATATTCACAGCAATCTCCTGTGATGTTAGATGACTGCAAGTTAGACTTTCAGGAGCCCATTGGGAGGGTGGATCTGACTTTGAGTCATAGTGTTGCTGTTGTCGTTGTTGTTAATAGAGTTTTATTAGTTTTCCGAACTGAATACTGGGTAGCATGGCCCAGTCTTGTGAGGTCATTTGCCTTCCTCCTCTAAAATTTTTTTGTGGTACTAGCTTTACTCCCAGCTGCCCCTCCCCTTAAGTTTGTACATTTGAGACCAGTAACAACCAAAATACTTTTTTCCATTTTCAAGATAAGAAAGTTATTTTTCCACTTTCATTACCTCGTGCATCCAGTCACCAGTTGTCACTCTTTGCTTTCTTGCATTCTCGTGGTTATTGTTGTTTCCCACTGGTTCTGATTGAGTGCTAATGGAATGTGCTTGGCAGATATGACAAAGAAGATGTGTAACTGTCCAGTGGTGGAACTCTAACCAAAGGTGTCTCCTTTTCATTCCAAATCACCTAAAGAAACAAAACTATAATTATGCCTTCCTCTGTAAATCACTAGAGTAACTTATACCCATGTCTCAAATGTATGCATGTACCTCAGTTTAAGAAATAAAATGTTTTTGATCTTTAGCATGCTGGACTATGATACAGAAAACCTGAACTCTGAAGAAATCTATAGTTCTCTGCGTGGAGTTACAGAAGCCATTGAAAAGTTTAGTTTTCGAAGCCAAGAGGATCTGAATGAGTCAATCAAACGAGATGGCAAAAAGGACTGTGATATTGTAAGTATTCCCAGGCTAAAAGAGAACTGTATATCAATTAAATGACAGATGCTGACTCTTCTGAACACTGACCACCATGGTTACTAAGCTTCGTCATTATTTTTATCCTGCTTTACAATAGGTTTTTTCTTTTATTTTTAGTTGGCATGTAATAATTATACATATTTATGGTACAGAGTAGTATTTTAATACATGTATGCGATGTATAATGATCAAATCAGGGTAATTAGCATATTTGTCACCTCACCTCATTTATTATTTCTTTGTGCCAGGAACTTTCAAAATTCTGTCTTCTAGCTTCTTGGAAATACACAATACAAACTATATTTACCAGGGCCGGGCTCGGTGGCTCAGCTTGTAATCCCAGCACTTTGGGAGGCCTAGACAAGTGGATTGCCAGAGCTCACGGGTTCGAGACCAGCACAGGCAACTTGGCGAGACCTCGTCTCTACCATAAATAAAAAATTAGCCAGGCATGGTAGCACATGCCTGGAGTTCCAGCTACTTGGAAGGCTGAGGCGGAAGGATCACCGGAGCCCACCAGGTCGACGCTGGGGTGGCTGTGAGCGTGCCACTGCACTCCAGCCTGGGCAGCAGAGTGAGATTCCAACTCAAAAAACCCCCAAAAAACTCTATTTACCCTACTGTGCTATAGAGCACTAGAACTTATTTCTCCTACAACTGTAGTTTTATCTTCATTAACCAACCTCTCCCACTCCCCACTTTTTCTGGCCTCTGGTAACCACAATTCTACTCTCTACTTCTGTGAGCTCAGCTATTTTTATTTACCACGTATGAGAACACGCAGTATTTTGTCTTTCTGTTCCTGACATCACTTAACATAATGCCCTCCAAGCTCGTCTATGTTGCAGTGGATTATAGGATCTTAGTTCTTTTTTATGACTGAATAGTATTCCATTGTATATACGCAGCATATATTCTTTATCCATCCATCCATTGATGGATACTTAGCTTGATTCCATAGCTTAGCTGTTGTGAACAATGCAGTGAATATAGGGATGTAAATATCTCTTATATGCTGATTTCATGTTTTTTTTAGTTGTAGTCTCACTCTGTCTCCCAGGCTGGAGTGAGTAGCACACTCATAGCTACCACAGCCTTTACCTGCTGGGCTCAGGTGATCCTTCCACCTCTGCCTCCCAAGAAGCTGGAATTACAGACACGCACCACCACACCTGGCTAATTTTTTGATTTGTTGTAGAGATGAGGTCTCTCCAAGCTGCCCAGGCTGGTTTTGAACCCCTGGGCTCACGCAGTCCTCTCGTCTCTGCCTCCCAAAGTGTTGGGATTGCAGGCGTGAGCCACCGTGCCTAGTTCGTTTTCTTTGGATATATACCCAGCAGTGAGATTAACTGAATCATATGGTAGTATTATTTTTAGTTTTTTGAGAAACCATACTGCTTTCCATAATACAGTACTAAGTTTACATACCCACCAACAGTGTAAAAATTCCATTTCTCCTCATCTTTGTCATCATTTGTTATCTTTCTGTCTTTTTTTAAATTATAGCCATAAAGTAGTATGATTTTAAGAGGTGCAAGGCAAATTTACAAAATTTGAAAAGAATAATCCTCAGATGTCTTTGTGAAGGATGGTAAATGTCTTTTCTCCTCATTCTGCTTTTGTTTGTCCTGGGCATAGTTTTGTTCCTGCGATGTGATGCATATGGTGATCCTGAACCAGACACCGGTGTGTCTCTCTGGGAACTCCAGTCTCAGGGAAGAAGCAGGCAGACGAGCGCAGGGTGGTAGTGTGGAGGGGTGTGGTCAGGGCTCAGCATCCAGACCTGCCGGCCAGCCTTGGTGCCCAGGAAGGATGTGCGGGAGAGGGGATGTCACCCCCTGAGCTGAAGCACGAAGGTCCGGAGAAACTTGCCATGTCAAGTCGGAGGGGGGCCTGTGTGAAGGCTGAGAGATGGGTGTAGGCGTGGTGCGAGTTTTCGTTTGGGGTGGCTGGAGAGGAGAGGACGGGAGGACTGTGGGGTGGGCGAGGTTCAGAGCAGAGCCACAGAGGCCGGCGCAGGAAGGGCACCCACATCTGGAGGGTTCCCAGCCGATGCCTCGACTTCACCCTGGAGACGCTAGAGAGTCTCTGAAGGACATGCAAGCAGGGAAGCATCATGGCCACACTTACATTTAGGGAGACTGCTGTCACTCCAGGAGGGAGAATAATTCTGGAGAAAGTGTGGTTGAACAGAGCTTGTGCAGAAACAGGAGAATCTGAGTCTCATGGGCTGTTGAGCAGATGCTGATGCGAGACCATGAAATAGTATCCTAGAAAGAGAAAAGGTGCATGGTGACCTCTTTGGAACATAGCAAATTCTGCTTTGAATATATGTGAATTGCAGGACTTGTGAAACATCCAAGCAAACATCCGTCAGGTCTTTGGCTATACCAGTCTGGAGTTTCAGGTAGCAGTTTAGGCTGAAGATCAATTTGAGAGGCACTGATTAGTTGTTTGATGGTAACTAAAGAAAAAAGAGTGAAATGACCAGGGAAAGGGTGAGGACAGCATTTTAAGGAGCATCAGCACTGAGGGAAGGACAAGCTAGCGAGGGCAGGAGGGAACCCGCCTAGTATGGTGTCGTGGAAGTTGAGGGAAACTGTTTCAGGAAGGGCATTCTCACGAAAGGGGCCAAGCTGCACAGAGATGGCAGGCCAGCTGTGCAGTGAAAGGGCTTCACTGGATTTTTGGTGTATTACCTGTATTAAATATTCCATGTTGACCTGTTATATATAAAGTATACATTGACCTTGTATATGTGATCTAGTGTAAAGTCAAGACCATTCCTTCAAGAATGGGCTCACTGTTTGGGCTTCCATGCTTTTCTTCTTTAATAAACTTTATACAAATTTACAGTTTTCACTTTCCAAATTTCGGAGGCGGGCACAGGTGAAGTAGAAGTGAGCATGGAAGAAGTGGGAAGGTTAAAGATTTACTATCTCAGCCACTGGTTACCACATTTTTAGCCAAAAGCTAAGGTAGATATAAAACTGAATTAAATGTGAAAAACTCAGGAGCCAGCTGGACAAGGAGACATTGTCTAGCAGGAAAGAAGCCTAGCCGGATACGGTGGCTCACGCCTATAATCCCAGCACTTTGGGAGGCCGAGGTGAGAGGATTGCCTGAGCCCACAGGTTTGAGAACAGCCTGGAAAACTTGGCAAGACCTCACCTCTATAATAAATCAAAAAATTATCCAGGCATGGTGGCATATATATATTTTTCAGCTACTTGGAAGGCTGAGGCGGAAGGATTGCTGGAGCCCAGCAGGTCAATGCTGGGGTGGCTGTGAGTGTGCCACTGCACTCCAGCCTGGGTGACAGTGTAAGGCTCCAATTCAAAAAAAAAAAAAAAGCAAGTTAGAGAGAGTGATGTGATTACACGTGATGGTTACACTAACTTTATTCCCGTAAGAAATGCTTGAACAATGAGGAAATCAAAATATAAGCTGATATGTACTCCAGGATTCCTGCTGGGTAAAATCTGCACGCAGGTTCAGACTGAAGTAGTAATAGCAAGCTAACAAAGGAATATTTCGTTGTTAAAGGTGATTAGAATTGGGATGATTTAACTTTATTTTTTAGTGTGTGAAGTTTTAGCAACTCTTCTTTTATAAATGATTTTTGTTACAATAGTAATATATTTTAAAAGTTACAAAAAGAAAAATTAGACTCATCCATGAATTTTCTTTCACCCAGAGAAAACCCATTGTTTTGATTTACACCTTTTCAGTCTTAATTTGTTCAGTCTTAATTTGTTAACATCTTAATTAAATTGACATTAAATCTTATTTGTGAGTATTAAAACCAAATGCGTCTCAGCACTTTCACCAGGTATATATTCAGAATACATGGAAGCAGGGATTCGAACAAATAATTGTTGACCAGTGTACACATTATTCTCAAGAACCAAAAGGTGGAAACAGGCCACATGTCCATCAGCACATGAACACACAAAATATGGTATATACATTCATTGTGGACTATTTTACTCAGCTTTAAAAAGGGAAAAAGTCTGATGCCTGCTACAACCTGGATGAACCTTGAAAATATTATGCCAAGTGAAGTAAGCCACTCATAAAAGGGCAAATATTGTGTGATTTTGTTTATGCAAGATACCTATCATTAACAAATTCATAAAGACAGAAGGCATAATATAAGTTACCTGGGGGTGGAGGAAGAAAGGATGAGTTGTTATAGGTGCAGAGCTTTTATCGAGGACGATGGGAAAGTTTTGGGTGTACATAGTGGTGATGGTTACACAACATGCGAATATATTTAATGTCACTGAATTGAACACTTAGAAATGATATGTTACACCTATTTTTCCATAGCTGGATTAAAACGCAAATGTACAAGCAGGAAGTAGGAGCCGCGTGTCTTGTCACCAGCACAAGCAGAAATGTTTCCATAGGAATCCATTGTGTTCTGGCTGCCCAGAAGCGTTTTCCACCATTGTTCTGCAGACACGTGCTGAGATGAGGAAACATAGTGTCCTGCCTGTTGCCAGCAGCCAGCCCACATTTGCTAGGTCACAGTCCCCCTGCAAAGGGAACTGGACTGCCCCGTGTACCTGAGAGGAGAGGACCCCGAGAATGAAGGGGATCATGACCATGGTACAGGGGCCAGGCAGAGAACCATGTGTTTGATTTGTTGAAGACAATCAAAATATACTAGGGAATACACAGTCTGGGCGTGGTGGCTTACACCTGTAATACCAACACATTGGGAGGCTGAGGCTGGCGGATTGCTTGAGCCCAGGAGTTCAAGACCAGCCTGGGTAACAGTGAGACCTCATCTCTACAAAAAAAATTAGCCATGCGTGGTGTCACACACCTCTAGTTCCAGCAGCTGGGGTGGCTAAGACAGAAAGATTGCCTGAGCCCAGGAGTTCAGGCTATGGTGAGCCAGGATCATGCCACTGCACTCCAACCTGGGTGACAGAGTAAGACCTTGACTCAGAAAAAGGAACATACCAGGGAAAAAACAAAACTCAGAAAATACTAAAGCCCTACTCTTTGACCCAGCATAAAGAAGAGCCCTGAGTGAGGAATATCTGAAGCATAACCTGCCGGGGAGGTCTGAGCTCTCTGTGGGAGATGATACGGCACTGTCCGGCTGACCCCTGGGCAGGAATACGTGCGGCACAAGCAGCAGATTCAGGATGGTGGAGGCGCTTCAGACCTTGGGGGGTAGTTGCAGGGCCTCTCGCCACGGGTGTTGTCAGGGCCTCTGTGAGAAAGCCCTTGTTAGGAGTGGAAAGCGCCAGGCTGCAGTTCTGGTCCAGCAGAGTCCTCGAGAGCAGGGTGTGGGGTGATCAGGGACTCTTGCTTCTTGGGGACTCTTCCGAAGTTCGTGGTGCTCATCTCTCAGAAAATGTGTGGCTCAAGCGAATCAGCGCGTTACAAAGTAAAGCACTCTTGACGTGTAAACTGTTGAGTGAATAGGTGCAAATAAGGTCTGTTCTGTTCCTTTTGTGGCAGCTTACGAGCTTGGTATTTACAGACCGGAAGGCTAGTAGCTGCTCTGTGATCAGTGGCTAGGTTTCCCGTGGAACTCTCCGGCCCGCCTAATATTTCTGAGCGCTAAAAAGAAAAGCCCGGTGACAGTCCCCGAAGGGACCTGACAGTGTGTGCTGTGCTCCAGGTGTCCCGCGATGGGGGCGCTGCCTCCCCCGCCACCGAGGGCCGAGGAGGCAGCGAAGTGGAAGGGGGCAGGACGGCCCTGGACAACAAGACCTCCCTCCTCAACACCCAGCCTCCGCGTGCCTTCCCGGGGCCACGAGCACGAGACTACAGCCCATACCCCTACGCAGACACCATCAACACCTACGACAAGACGGCCCTGAAGGAGGCCGTGTTCGACGACGACATGGAGCAGCTTCGGGACGGTTGGTCTCTCTCTGCTCGGTTGCCCCCGTCCCGAGTGCCCCATGTGCCTCCTCTCCTGTCCGGCCGGCTCTGGGCCTGCCAGGCAGATGGAGATGGAGGTGCTGGGTCTGTTCTGGTGGGTCGTTTGTTCAGGAACGACTCGTTGAGTGCCTGCTGTGTGCTTGGCGTGGGGGACACCACAGGGAACAGAAGCACAGGCAGTCCCTGTCCTCTGGAGGCTAGTGGGGGGGCCGCCAGGAAGCAGGCAGTCACGCAGATGATGTGAGAGCGCTGCCCCTTCGGGGGGTGAAGGAAGGCTCCCTCTGCCCTCTGAGAGACGCCTCTGAGGAACCGGGCGGGCGAGGCCGACCGTGGGAATGAGGGTGGGCCTCGTAAAGGGCCTCCGACCCACACCCCCAGTTCCACGAAGCACGGCTGAGACGTTCCCCTCCTCTCACGCCAGCGTTTTGACTGGGTTTTCCTGGAGCTGGGCCGACCTGTGAACTGGAGGTGGGAGGGAGCAGGTCTACCGAGCGCTGAGTGAAAACTCCTAAGACATGTGCTTGGTGCTGAGTAAGTGCTGTGTATGTATACCGTCTAACTGAGACGGAGGGGATCATTCCCCTTTTACAGACTAAGAACTGGGTTTGGAAAGGTCAAGCTATTTGCCCAAAATATGACATGGTTATCTAATGTTTGTAAGATGGCGAAGCGTTGCTTTGTTTTTTTCTAATCCCTGTGTTAAGACCAGTGTCTGTCATTGAGTAACCAGCGAGTAAGGGTATTTTTGTCAGGAACTTCCTTTTTCACCTCACTGTCATGCTACACGTTTTGGTTTGTTCCAGTTGATAGTGCTTTTTAAAATGTAGATGTATCTGTTTTGCTTCGAGCCTGTTTCATTTTTCAAGTTGGAATAAAGAATTAAATTAAAACACTAAAGTTAGCGCTCTGAAGAGTTAATGTTCACTGAGGGCCTCCTGTGTGTCGTGAAGTTTCTCAGTTACCAGGGACCCAGAGGTAGAAGAGACACGGTCCCTGGACTCAGCTGAAGGCCTGTCAGGGGAGTGGACTTGGTGATCACACTAGCATGAGAAGGAGAGCTTGCTAGAGGCAGGGAGCAGGTTTACCGAGGTGCAGAGGAAAGAAAGTCGTACCCTCAGGGATCAGACAGTGGGGAGACGCTGCCGGAGAAGAGAAGTCCACGTGCTGTGGGAAAGCACACGTGGCCTCGAGGCCGAAGCATGAGGCCCAGGCTGCTGATTGAACTGGACTGCTGGTGGCTAGTGGGCAGCAGCTCATCGTGCCCAAGCAGCTGTCGACTGGCAGCAGGCCGTGGGTACAGCGCTTATGTGGCCAGCACTTCCTGGGAGAAGTGGGCTGTTTCTTTGCATTGCTTGTCGGATCGGTACATTGCTCGCCTTATCCGTTATTGCTCTTGATCGAGGTAGAGTAGCGATTAGAATGTTGGCTGCTCTTTATTCACCAGTGCCTACTAAAAGGCTTTAAGAGAAAGGTGGGGTGGTGGGGATTTCATTTCCAACAGCGTCCTCTACTGTTTCGGACTTGTGTGTCTACTTCCCGATCTTAGAAGCTAGAGAAACGTGCGGATACACATTTCAGCAGTTCCTGATGACTTGTCTTATGTGTTCAAAGTTGAGTATTCAGCAGTGTCGACTGTCCTGTGCCCTCTCCCCAGTGCCCATCGACCACTCGGACCTGGTGGCTGACCTCCTGAAGGAGCTGTCCAACCACAACGAGCGGGTGGAGGAGCGCAAGGGCGCCCTGCTGGAGCTGCTCAAGATCACGCGGGAAGACAGCCTGGGTGTCTGGGAGGAGCACTTCAAGACCATCCTGCTGCTGCTGCTGGAGACCCTGGGAGACAAAGACGTGAGGCCCCCTCGGCCTCCGCTGCCCCTTTCCAGGGGGTGGGGTCGCAGGACCCTTTTCCTGCTGGGTTGGCTTCAGCTTGACTTTTTGGATTGTGCTTACTGTTTACGTAGAAACATTTATTTGTTCATGTTCCACATGCTTTCTGAGTACTTACTAGCAGGGTGATGTTTTTATCAGCAACAGGCTTCATCCTGGCTTAGGTGCAGGTTCTGCCTGTAACTGGGTTTGGAGCAGTTGAGGGAAGCTTGTTCATCTAGTCCCTTGATCACAGAATTTCTTAAGCTTCCTTTGCACAGAACGTGGTCTTTTAGGATGCAGTACTGCTTGTGAGTGTCACTTTTGTCTCACGTGTAATTGAGAAATAGAAACGTTCATTTTTTTTAGAAGACCCTACTAAATGCTGCATTCCATGAAATTCCATCTTGGTTCTCCCCTAAATATGTTAATAGTCCCAGTAATCTTACTCGGTGAAGTGACAGGTTCCAGAACCGTGATTCTTGTATTATTAATTTTAAAGCAAAAAAGCCCTTGTCACCCTGGGACATTAGAATGTGAGACTCGTCATTTGTGACATGCCTGGTCTGTGATCCACACATGGCACTTAGCAGAAACTCCCAAAGAGGGGTGAATTGAGTCAGAGTCCCGCCCTCTCCCATGTGCAACTGGGCCCTTCTGTGGAGACCGGAATGGATGTTGGGGATTGCTGGAATTAAGCTCCATCTCTACGATGGCTTTGTGTAAACTAGCAGAAACAAGGAAAAAGTGCTGTGGTGAGGAGCCAGAGAGGTGGGAATGGGAGGATTGCCAGGAGGTGATAGTCCATGCCCAGGGTCACACAGGGAGGGACTTGCCTGGCGGCCAGGTGAGGGCAAGCCTGCTGCATGCTGTGGCAACTCAGATGGCTTTCTGGTGCTTCAGATTAATGATTTGGTTTAGAGATAAGTACAGGTAGAAGAATGGTAATAAAAGATTTGTTTTACTTTTCTTAAAACAAAGTATTGGCTACTGAAGCAGTTATGCCTGGTTGACTCTATCAGGAGATGAAGTGATGTCATGTAGAGGGCAGATAAGTGGTGTATTTGTGTGTGAATTGTACAGATGAGTGACAAAGAATCAGGATGTACTTGTTGGCTCTGTTTGGTATAAACTCTATTCTCTTTTATTGAGATTAGGAGTCTATTTGGAATGGCTTTCCTCCAGATGCATGACTTTGGCCTTAAACAACTCAGGACTTGTAGAAACCTAGTGATCTCATCACATGGAAGGTCACACATAGCAACAGGCCTCCAGCTGTTCTTAGAGAGTTCACAGCCTTACAGGCCACGTTTATGAAATGTTTAGCTGCTTCGCACGTGTCCTTTGGTACATTTTACAGGAGGCTAATTTGTAGACCAAAGCCTCAGGAGATCTGGAAATCCTCGGGAGACTGATAGTGAATATGGGTGTTTCATCCCCATTTGGTCTCAGGTACAAGGCTCATTCAAGAAGCCTTTGTTAGGTGCTGAGTCCTGGGAATGTCACACTAAGACATAGTACATAGTGCCTGCCCTCAGGGAGCTGACTGACTGTGCCAAGCAAATGTCAAGATCATGACTGTATCATGGAGAGCCAGTGTCAAGTAAACTCCTGTGAGATGGCAAGGAACCCTGACTCGGGTGCTCGGCCCTGCTGAACCCTGCTGACTGGTGTGTGCAGCCGAGCACTGTGTGTTGTTTGCTGATGTCTTACTTTTCTCTGTTACTCCAGCATTCTATTCGAGCGCTAGCGTTGAGAGTGTTGCGGGAAATTCTGAGAAATCAGCCAGCAAGGTTTAAAAACTATGCTGAGCTGACGATCATGAAGACACTGGAAGCCCACAAAGACTCCCACAAGGAGGTAAGTCAGACGGACGATCAGGGGTGCTGAACAGGTGGGTCTGGAGGAACAGTTGAGGTGTGGGGAGAGAGCGGTTGGAATCGCTGTGCAGCTTTAAAAGGAGCCCCTTCCTCGGAGCTTGGCCCATGTCAAAACACGAGTGGAACTCCATCACTGTCATCAGCATGGCTGAGCAGCCGCGCGGTCCCAGGGCGGGGCCATCTGTTCGGTTCCTGGCTCCCTCTCCCTGTGTCCAGGAGAGACGTTCCATGGCCCAGCTTCCCAAAGTCGCTTCTGTAGAAAGGAGGGTGCTGCCACCTCCTGCTGACATTCAGCCTCTGGCAGTGTGTTATAGGAGACGGAGACTAGCTTTGGCATCCAGACATGCAAGTCCCTGACCCAGCGCTTTCTTGCTCCCGATGTGTGGACGGGTCATTTCACCTTTGAAGCCTTAGTTTCCTTGTGTGTACAACAGGGAGAGAGATTCTCACAGAGTTTCTTGTGAGAGTTAAATGAGGGGGCCGGCGGCAGTTCCAGCCCTGTGTTTGCCAACAGTGGGCAGCACGCTGCTGTACTGGCCTCCTCCGGGCCCCTTTCCATGCTGTTCTCTGCAAGGTAAGGCTAAGTCGAGGCAGCCCTGCCACGCTCCCTCGGCTCACTTCCCGACATTTAAAATGCCAGCAAGCCACCCCTGCGGTTCCTGGCGCGGGGACCTCCCCTGCCTGTTGGGGGCCTGGCACAACGTCTCTGTGCCCGCACACGTGCCACAGCCGGTGCACATTCAGTGAACATGCAGCCAGTGTTGTATTGGATGGTCCAGCCCCTCTGGCTCACCAGGCCTTGGAGTAGGTAGGGGCCTGTGGAGAGTGGGAGGTGCCCGGAGCTGTTCTGAATACAAATGATTTCAGTGATGCCCTTCAGCAAAGGCCTGATGGGAACAGCATCTTGTATTAGAACCTCAGAAACTTAGTATGACAAGAAAGGGATCTGACCCCAAAGTGACATAAACTACTCGCTCAATTCAATCTCTTGGCTCGCGTGTGACTGGCTTATGAGCATGCTCATGGATTAAGCGAATTGTTATTAGAACAATTCTCAGATCTACAAATAGAATCAGACCCTAGGTCGTGGTTTTTTTTCTTGGGCAGTTTTATGGCTGCTTGAGCAGTGACTGGTCGACCGCCTCAAACCTCCAGCACAGTTGTAGCTCAGCAGGGGTGAGGGTCTCGTCCTCCGGCTGGGCCCCTCCACTTCCTGCTTCTCCAGAGCACACAGCACAGGAGCGATAGGTGTGTTTTCAAACTAATGACTGTGTTTCCAAAGTCTGGCTTGGCTGCATTGACGGTAATCACTGGTGTTTGAACAAAGCACTTTCCATTTGCAGTAACTCATGGTTTAAATGTGAGGACCTGCCAAGCAAATGTGATGAGCATAGTGATTCCCAGGTGAGGAAGGAAGGTGCTAGAAGAACTGCATGCACGGTAGTTACTGGCAGAACCTTGACATGAGCCAGGTCTTACGTCTCTCTTGAGGGACAACTGGCCTGTGCTGACTTTTTCTTTTTCTTTTTTCTCATTCAGGAGACGCTGTAAGTGCTTCTCCTGAATGAGAATACATGGTCAAAAGATGAAATATAGCCGGGCTCGGTGGCTCAGCCTGTAATCCCGCACCTTTGGGAGGCTGAGGTTGAGTGAATTGCCTGAGGCCACGGGTTCGAGACCCGCCTGGGCAGCGAGACCTCATCTCTACAGTAAATCAAAAAATCAGCCAGGCGTGGTGGCGCGCACCTGTAATTCCGGCTACTTGGAAGGCTGAGGCGGAAGGATCGCCAGAGCCCAGCAGGTCGAGGCTGCGGTGGCCGGGAGCGGCCACTGCACTCCAGTCTGGGCGACAGATTGAGACTCCAACTCAAAAAAAAAAGATGAAATATAATTGATGTTCTTTTACATAGAGATGATACCAGCTGTTTCTTGGGGAAGGACATACTTAGAATGGGGCATTAAGATGAAACAGTGAGCGGTCCACAGTGTCTCGGCACTTACTCTCCAGTTGGAAGATACCTGTCTTTAGAGTAGGCACCCTGATTTTTAAAACTTTGACAGTGGGCCCTAAGTTAACAGAATTAAATAACCCATTTGCTATTTGTTTTCTTGGGGAAATCTTGTTTCTTTCCTTGCAAAATGAGAAGTTTAAAAGGAACAAAGTTCATAGGTATGAGGTCCCTTAAGTCGCCCAGGGGTGAAGAGCAGAAAACACTTCCTGCTTAGAATACACTTAGCAGCACTCAGTGGACTCAGTTCCTGTGGCCCGAGGGTCCCCATGCCACCGTGGCTGATGACCAGTGGAGCTGTGGAGGGACGCGTTCCGAGTGCAGTGCCCGTGCTGGTGGGCTCCCTGCTTTGCGTTCTTGCAGGCTCACCTTGACACGCTGGCCTTGCGGTTTCCCCAGGAAACGTCACGCTGTCCCTTGGCCAGAAGCTGCAATTCAGGCAGCACCTGCATATTTGGGTTTGGGGTTGGTTTTTAAAATTTTTTCTTAATCTTTTTAAAAAAATTCTTCTAGTCTTTGTCTTATTTTAATCAATCTGTTTCCATGTCTTGTTTCTGTTTTTTCAGGCAGAAGAGTTAGATGCACATAAAGTCTGTGTTGTGGACATTTTGTTGGCATTTTAGGAATGGCAAATAGTACTTCTCTACTCCTTCCATTTTCTCCTCATTGCATGTAGTACTTACGACTCCAGACGTTTAATGGAGAGGATCTAAAGTGTTTCTAGACACAGTTACTGTATTAGTCAGACAAAGGCATGGTCTGCTTTTCTGTCTTATTAATACTTCCACAGTGAGTGTTCATCCCAGAGTGAACTCTCTTGGAATTTTCTTCTCGTAAGAAACTAGCTGGTTTTATATTCCCAGATAAAACCCAGGCTTCATCAGGAGATGAAGAACCTGAAAGCTGACAGTTAACCCAGACAAGGCTGCTCTGAGAGACCTTCACACCAGGTGTTCTCCCCCCTGCTAGCGTGACGTTGCTGCGCCAACACTCACCCTGTAGCTCGGGCTGTGGAACTGCAGCAAGGAAGGACGGCTTCTTGAAAGCGGTTCCTGCTGGGCGTTGTGGCTCGTGCCTGTCATCCCAGCACTTTGGGAGGTGGAGGCGAGAGGATTGCCTGAGTCCAGGGGTTTAAGGCCAGCCTGGGCAGCTTGGCAAGGCTGCTTCTCTACAATAAATCAAAAAATTAGCTGGGTGTGGTGGCATGCGCCTGTAGTTCTAGCTACTTAGAAAGCTGAGGTAGGAGGTTGCAATGGCCGTGAGCATGCCACTACTCCAGCCTGCATGACAGAGTGAGACTCAAGTCCAAAACATAAAAATAAAAAACAAAATAAAGTCATAGGAAATAAAAGAAAGTTTCTGCAAAGCGAACTTTGTCGTAAAAGCTCTTAGGGAAAATGGATGAGGTGTAGGACTGGTAATAAAATGACCTGTTTTCTCATCCTATAAGCACGGGTCTGCTTTCTCTTCTAAAAACATGCAGAATGTTGTTCTTATATGTTGAAAATCTTTCTTAGACATCATTCAGCCTAAGCTAGCACAGATGTTCTATGGTAAGGAAGATAGATGGAGGATTTGGGCACCATGTTCAAGTTTTTATTTTAAAAGTTGGTGTTTGTCAGCTTATACATAATGTTATCATAGTCCCTATTTGAATAAGTAAATATCTTTCATTATCTTTTTTTTTTTTTTTTTTTTTTAGTAAAGTCATTTTGCTCTTGAGTTTCATTGCCTCATTAGTGAGGTGACTGTGGTTTACAGTAGTTTTAGCATTTAGCAAACACCTTAAAGGGTTGAGGCCCTGAGAATGAACTTTTAAAATCTTGAGCCAGTATTCCACTTCTCAAGATTCCGCTGTTAATTTGAACTCTTATTGTAGAATTTGTAGTCTATTGGTGAACTGGTATGGAATCTCTCCTTTGGCAGTTGAAAAGGAAGGATTTAATAAGAAAATTGAGGCCAGACACTCGAGCTCATACTGATAATCTCAGCACTTTGGGAGGCCGAGGCAGGAGGATCACCTGAGCCCAGGAATTCAAGGCCAGCCTAGGCAACATAGCAAGACCTTATCTCTACCAGAAAATTAAAAGAAAAATTAGCCAGACATGGTGGCATGCACCTATAGGTCCAGCTACTCAGGAGGCTGAGGTGAAAGGCTCACCTGAGCCCAGGAGGGTCGAGGGTTCAACGAGCTGTGATCATGCCACTGCACTCCAGCCTGGATAACAGAGTGATCAACTTAATCAATCTATCAGTGAGAATTGATACTACAAAGGAATTGTGGGATCAATGTGCGATGTGAATCTTGAGACAAAAAGCCTGGTTTTCAGTCCTGCATTTTGCTGGCAGTTTTGTCTTCATATAACCCTGGATGAGCAGAACTGTTGTGAGAATCAGAGATAATATGGTAATCTGCTTTTAAAACTGGCATCTGCTACACAAATCTTGCAAGGCATCCTTATTCATTTCAGAAGCATCAGTTTCTTGGGAAGCAATAAGTGCTAATTATAAATTATCTTCTATACCTTTACTGCAAGAAGAGTTGTTGCCCCCGGTCATTGTGACTTGCATGTAGTACCCGCAACATTGAAGTTCTCAGCCAGTGTTTTATTTATTCTTGAAAGAAGTGCCAGCTTTCCCTTTTTAGTCTGTGATTGAGACTTTTGGTCATTAGACTTAGCTTTCTCTGAACTTTGCCACATTAGTGAATATTCAGTTGCATTTGCCTTTTTTTTGAGTAGGAGTCTCACTCTGTCACCCAGGCTAGAGGGCAGTGGCATGCTCCTGGCCACCGCAGCCTTGACCTGCTGGGCTCAGGTGATCCTTCCACCTTAGCCTTCCAAGTACTGGAACTACAAGCATACACCACCATGCCTGGATAATTTTTTGTTTTATTGTAGAGATGAGGTCTTGCCAAGTTGCCCGGGCTGGTCTCAAACCCATGAACTCAGGCAATTCTCTCACCTTGGCC